GTGCAAAATAAATTAATAAATTTTCATCCGCTCGCGCCAGACTTCAAAACATCCCGCCTTACAATATTCTATTGCCTCCATGTTCCTAAGAAATAGAAATATACTAGTATGTGTGGTCCTTCTTTCTTTACTTGATGAAATACTCCACACACGTGGCCCTACCGATCACGCATGATGCATGTGAATCGGTATCTTTTGTATTATTTGTAAACTGATACCTTAAAAATGTAATTATACAAATGTCTTCCGCCTCTCGTGTTTTTTTTCATAAAAATCAATCAAACTCTATTTATTAATTTATTGCGGCCTTCACATCCACATGCTATGCTTGCTTATAGTAGTAATGTGCCCAAATTCACAGCCCGTGCAGTTTTATCACGGCGTTTTAGCTGGATAGTGAACAAGCGCACAATCATAGGTTTCTGGCATGCCCAAGGGACGCAACTCTATACAGCGAATTGCGACGCCTCAGACGACTTAGGCGCCCGTGATCAAGATGACTGTATAGGCAATGGGCAGAAAAACGCGAGATTACGAGGTCACGGAATTAGTCTAGTGTCGCAATCTCGCGTTCTCGCGATTTCGCATTCTGAAAGAAATAAACTAGTGTCCAAAAGAAACGATACCACCTGTTTGCAACGACATAAAAGAAAAACTAAACAATGCAGAAGTTTAGGATTGGTGTTATGCTTTTGAGAAATCCTTTCACAACATCTGTACAAAAATTTCATTTCAATAAAATCTGTACAACCAATATGACAAGCCTTTAAAGATGGGTGGGGTCGAAAAATGAACATTTCGTTAGAGCACTGATCACAGAAACAACGGGAAATGTCACACCACACGCCTCAATGTCAAGTCAGTAGCGGGTATGTCCACCGTGAGCATCAATACATGCCAGAACACGCCTACGGACTGATGACGTCAAACGTCTGATGACGTTGGGAGTGATGCGTTGCCATTCCTCGAGGAGACATCGTTCCAAGTCCTGGACGTTGACTGGAGGCATACGGCGACGTCGGATTTGCCGATCGAGGTGGTCCCATAAGTGCTCGATGGGATTCATGTCCGGTGAACATGCGGGCCATGGCAAAACCTGTACGTTGGCGTTGGCAAGGAAGTTCTGTGTCAATCTTGCTGTGTGTGGCCTTGCATTGTCATGTTGGAAAAGGAGTCCACGAGGCTGTTGCTGAATAAAGGGCACCACAACAGGTCGTAGGATGTCATCAAGATAACGCTGTGCATTCAGGTTTCCACGAATTACGACAAGCATCGTTTTGACGTCACCACATATGCCACCCCAAACCATTAACTATCCACCTCCAAACGGCCGGACCTGTTGGATACAGTTAGGCGCCAAACGTTCACCAAATCGTCGGTATACAAGCTGCCGTCCATCGTTTCTGAAGATGAGGAATCTGCTCTCATCAGAGAACATAACACGTGCCCAGTCCCGCCGTTGCCGACGTCGAACTCGCCTGGCCCAGATCAGTCTGTTGTTCCGGTGTCGAGGCGTCAGGAGCGGTCCGCGGTAGGGATGACGTGGCCGGATACCATACTGCCGTAGTCTCCTGTAGACGGTCTGTCGACTGATCCTGTGTCCCAGTGCTGTAGCCGCCGTGGACGTCGCTGTTACGGTGCGGCTCCTCAGGTGTAATACCCGGATGTAACGATCTTCAAGGGGCGTGGTTACTCGTGGTCTTCCACTCCTGGGCCTGTCTGACGTCTGACCTGTCTGACGTAACCGCTGCATCAACCTGGTGATAGTGATGCGTGCGCAGCCCAACCTTCTGGCGACGTCGACGTGTGACGCTCCTTGTTGGACCATTCCAACGGCTCTCTCTCTCTCGATGGCTGTCAAACGTGGCATATCTTGTGTTCTTTTTGTTGCTGTGATATCAACGTGTCTGATCAGCCGTTTAATACAGTTTTTATGCACGTGCAGAACATGCTAGAGAGGGAAATGTCACTTTCACGAAATTTACGTTTTTTCCCAGAAGTGATCACGTGTTCCCGGTATTTTTTTCCGACTATACTGTGTTTGGGATGTGCAATACGAATTGGCATGTTTTCATACTAGACAATTCACTTATATTAGTAAAAAACAATTTTGAAAATAAGTTGGTATCGTTTCTTTTGGACACTAGTTTAGTTACATGTAACGGCACAGGCAAGTGTTGCGATCTGTCGGTTTTTTTCAATGGTTACATATAACGGTTTGAGTCGAAACAGCGCTAGCCAATCAAAAGTCGCGTAGGAATTGACTTTTTCCCCACTACTGCACTTAATTATGAAAATGTCAAATCGTGTGAAAAACGGGCAAAAATATGAATTGTTACATGCACACCAGATATGGCTATCGTGAGTGGGTGAGTTAAAACGTAATGTCGCATCGGCATTATTTCAGCCATAGAGGGGGGCACAGGTGCCCCAGTCGTGAAAGGCGCCGCGATTCGCTGTGCAGAGTTGCGTCCCTTGGGCACGCCAGAAACCTATGATTGTGGGTTCGAAATCCGGTTCGCCCCGATCATGTTTGTAGGTTTGTCAGCACCATACCTGTGCTCGTGGGTTTCACCAAAGTGGTAAACGTCTGAGACCTGCATCACTTCGGGCTTTCCTCTCACATTAAGCTGACACGCCGTGATATAACTGGAATACTGTTAAAAGCGTCGTTAAACCCAACTCACTCACTCACTCACTCACTCAGCCATATAGCGACGAGAACAAGTTTATTTAATATATATATATATGATGATAATGATGATGGATTTAAATGAATGCTTATGGATTATTGATGGATGATGTGTGGATGTATGATGGATGATGATGATGGGTGTATGGATAATAATAATAATAATAATCATAATAATCATCATCATCATAATCATCATCATCATCATTATCATATACGAACTGGACATAACGAACTACAAAGGAATGCAATAGAAGAACTTGTATCTGAAATTATTACTTTATCAGAAAAATATATTCCAATATCGTGTTATTTTAGTTACAGCTTCCACTATATGTATTGAAAATTATAAGAACCATAAGAGTAGCACTTTGGTACAGGTGGTTGCTGTTGCCATATATTTTTTCGTATGGAACAACTTGACCAGTCACCGTAGGGACTTCCCGCGCTACATGTTGGTTGATTGGTTTGTTGTTTAACGCCGCACTCAGCAATATTCCAGCTATATGACGGCGGTCTGTAAATAATCGAGTTTGGACCAGGCAATCCAGTGATGAATATCATGAGCATCGATCCAATAATTGGGATCGATGACATGCATCAACCAAGTCAGCGAGCCTGACCACCCGATCCCGTTAGTCGCCTTTTACGACAAGCATAGTCGCCTTTTACGGCAAGCACGGGTTGCTGAAGATCTAATCTACCCCAGATCTTCACGGGTCGCGCTACATGTATTTCGATTGCGAAAACGATATATGTATTCATTCTCTTGCAACTAAAGTTCGTTTCAAGCCGTCAATGGCGGTAAAATGACCGTGGTTGCTGTAAACAACGTTCAGTTATGAGTGAGTGAGTGAGTGAGTGAGTTTGATTTTACGCCGCTTTTAGCAATATTCCAGCAATATCACGGCGGGGGACACCAGAAATGGGCTTCACACATTGTACCCATGTCGGGAATCGAACCCGGGCGTTCAGTTATGAGATCTCCCGATCACTTCACACACGATTTCGTCGAAATTAATGTCAAGATTTTTGAATGAGTAGCTGATAATGTTTTTAAGCAGAGGAAGACATCGCGTCATTGGAAAATTTAGGTGCAATCAGTAATATAGGGCTCATGTGTTACTTGAAGACATTGAATTATCCAGTTTGACACAAACGGTGGTCCATTTGGATGTTCTATTGTTTAACTGTACAGAAATCAAGCTCTGAACTGAAGCATTTATACACACGCACGCGCACACAAAAACGAAAAAAAAAACTCACGCCGAAACGCACGTGCACACAAAAACGAAAAGAAAAACTCACGCAGAAACGCACGCACGAAGAAACACACACCACAATCGTATGCACGCACAAATGCTCGCACATTCACACGCACAAACGCATACACAAACACGCATAAACGACGCTCGCATGCACAAGCGCATGCATGAATTTCCAAATGTTCGCATTCACAAACGCTAACATGTAACTTCGTGCACACTTTCATTCTTTTCTATAAAAAAAACCTTTCAAGATATATTTTTTTAAAGTAATATTTATAAGAAAAGAAATCGATCATAAGGTAATATTATATGGCCGCAGCAAAAATGGTATCAGAAAAACAGCTCGCATTATTTGATGTATCACCCAAGAGAAGTTTAAAACAAACCCGAACTGTTCATATGAATAAAGTTAATCTGTACTGGCCCGTCCGTTATATCACCAGGGCTCGCATTTCGGTAAACCTAGCTACACTAATCCTTAAACAAATAAGAGAGTGTACTTTAACTTTCAGTGACAAGAGCGAGCTTGAGATTTTAGTAGGTTAAGCCCTGTTTCATCGTATCAGAATATCGCAAGCTGACGACGCACATAGTCTTGAACCAGTTTAGATATTTGTTTTCTTCTTCTGTAAGCTGATTCCCGGCTCTCTATGCGCGTCGTCAACTTTCCCCAAACTTGGAGTAGGTACAGACCACCATTTCAAAAGGTCATCTCGTTTATGTGTCTCTATGTCGACGTCGCGTTGAAAGATACGGGAAGCAGTTTAGATGTAATGCCAATGCAAGATGCACACTTGTTGCCTCATCTTGTGATAAGGTTAAAAATTCTCGAATATTTTTTAACCGTACAGTCGTTACCACTGAAATATTTCTCACATATAACATACAGTAAACGGTTATTACGAACTCAAAGGGACCTCTAATTTTAGTTCGTCATAACCGAAGTTCGTTCTAAGCATATACACAGAATATATACAACAAATGGCCTGGACTAAAAAATAAGTTCGTTATAAAAGTGTTCGTTATAAACGTATGTAGTAGTATGTAATTATGTATATATCATCAAGTGTATTTTAAGGTCACCTCTTATTTTAATACCTAAGTTTTAGTCTACACTCCAATCTAACCTGCTTCACTAATACAATAGCACAGTCACCCTTGCGCTTGCCTTCTCTATTGTTTCTCTGGTTTCTATTGTTTAGCCCCAGCCCCTTACTTTCAGTGACAGGGTGCATTATGGGACTGGTCAGTTTAAATTCACACTTGTAGTTGATTATGTATGGAGTAGTCGGTTCATCGCTGATATAATTGAGACAATTGTCACAGGTTAGTTTGGTTGAATTGTATATTTATGTGTTCTTATTTAGTGCTTTGAAGAGTTTGTTAAGGTGCATATGTATGGTTTCTTAACTTCTTTTAATAATGCTTATATTGTTAGGTGTGATAAATATATATCATATCAGTCATCGTATTCAGGTAAATGTAGTTAGGCTAAATTTGCTTAAATACCTTATGTAAGTATGTTTATAATAGATAATCTTAACTAGCATTTTCATGTTGATATTACTTAACTTATTGTGTAACTAAGCATAATGAGTACATTTATTGATAGACTGGAGCTATTTACCTGTAAATTAAAGTTCTGCACCTAGCTGCACATGTATGAATGTATGTCTGTATGTCTGTATGATGAGGTGAGTAATTAGAATATATATTTTAGGGTTATTGTATATACCTAAGGATGTAAACATATTGATGTAATATGTTACACTGTAATTATGTTATATGTATTTATGTTCAGGTGTGTCCCTGTAAAGCAAATATCTGATGTTGTGACATCATAGGGCACAGTGCCATACACCTGGTGAGGACATTTATATTTTGTATGTATTTATAGTGATATGTACTTTAATTGTGTGTTATGTATTAATGCATTTATCATCATTCACCTATTATTGATAAACTATGTTTGTCAATTTATTATATGATAAATCTCCTGTAATATTTATAGTACAGTAAGACAAAACTAATTAGGCTAACTATGATTGATCATAACAATGTATATAATCATATTTAAGATTCTAATGTTTGTCAGTAAGTTATAATGTAATGATTTATTTGTATGTGTACGTATTGTGCATATTGTAACTCTGTGTATTTATTTTCACAGGGCCGTTTTATTTTGTATTAAAACAACTGGCATCAACAAATTAACCTGCGTTTTGTGATTCATTCACATAAACCACTCCGGTTACATTGGCGTCGTCGGCAGGATTTAACAGTTGTTGCAGTAAGGCACCCAGTGACAAGTGACAACGATGGACACTAGCTGTCCATGGATGAACGCGACAGAGATCTGTGTGCTCCAGGACCCGTGATGTGAAATTAATGTAACTACATAATGTATCAGTTACTTTATGCCATCATCTTTTCATGAGCTTGCCTCTCAGTGTATAGACAGCGATAAACTTGTATTGTGCAAGAGCTTGATTGACACTTTCGTTCCATTGTATTGTGCTTTCTGTGATTGACAGTTATTCATGTGAAGAGAAGAGGATACCACTGCTGTGATCATGTATAACAGACATTTGTCTTTCCTGTATGTTTATATATAACTGTCTAATGGGTTGTCTGTTGTATATTTGACATTTACATAAAATATTTACTGCATAGATTTGTACAGTGCACTTGGTAGTCTTAATCATACCGGCCGGTCATTAGTTAGTTACCACATTAGTTAGTTAGATCATTAGTTTGTTATAACATTACTTAGTTAGATCATTAGTTAATTATTCCTTTAGTTGCTATACAGAGTTGTGTCCCTTGGGCACACAAGAAACCTATGATTATGGGTTCGAATCTCGGTTTGCCCCACTTGTGTTTCTAGATTTGGCAGCACCATACCAGTGCTGAGGGTTTAACCAGCGTAGGTGTCTAAGATCTGCCTCACTTCGGGATTTTCTCCCACTTTGAGCTGACATGCCGTGATATGACTGGAATATTGTTCAATGCGGCGTTAAACCCTCACTTACTCACTCATTTAGTTAGTTAATTAGTCTACAGATTTTTTAATTTTATGGTTAATTTGTTAGTTTCTTAGTTAAGTAGTTATTTAATTAGTGTTATTAGTTTAACTTGTATCATATTAGTACCCTTTATATAGTTATGTAATATATCTGTGTTTGTGTGAAAGAAGTATGACTGTTTAGCACTTACATATTACTCAAACACTATTATAAGCAATAAAATCATAACATAATTTAATAATAAAACATTTAAATCAGTTTAGATATAATAGATAGGTCATAATTGTGTTTGGTTACATTCAGTTGGTCATAGAGTTTATTGATGTTGTCTTGGTAAAGTTGTACGTGTTGGGACTCTGTCTCCATACATCTTATTTTTTTCTTCTTCTTTTTTTTCTTTGTGTTTGCAGCGGTCGCACAGCTTACACTTGCACACCATTACTAACGTTTGCACTTGTCAATATACAAGTATTTTATATCTTGTGTTCTATTCAAAACAACATTGTTTAGTTAGAAGTTAGAATATACATATGCAGTTGCTATGTTGGAGATCCAGCCCAATCACTTTACTTCTCTGCTACTAGTGTCATAGATATATTTTTATTTATTTTTTGGTGCTAGTTGTTAATACTATACACAGGCATGTCTGATCAAATGTCAGAAGAGGAAATTTCGCAACTTGTTGCAACATTTCAGCAGCTAAAGGTCAAACCTAAGGCTGACTCACCAGAAATCTTGTTAAAGTGGATGTCTGAGTTTTCAACTGGCTCTGTGAAAACAGAAGATGTTTCCCATGCCTTTGGAACTCAGCATCCTAGTCACCCATCTGCAGCTCAGGTGTTTACCGTATCTCACCCTCCAAGTTTACCTTGCTTCTCGGGAGATGAAGGTAAAAGTAATGTGTCATATGACTTGTGGAGATACGAAGTGGATTGCATATTGAAGGACAAAGCACATTCAGGGGCGACAATTGAACATTCCATCAGGAAATCTTTGAGAGGGGAGGCCGCCAGAGTTGCTATGCGATTAGGTTCCACAGCTTCTCTTTCATCGCTTTTAGATAAGCTAAGGTGTGTTTATGACACAAGTGATTCTCCCGTCAACTTATTGGCAGCCTTCTACACAGCACGGCAGCGGGACGATGAGGACGTCAACACTTGGTGTTGTCGTCTAGAAGACCTACTTAGTAAGGCTGTAGACGCTGGTGAAGTTATCCATCAAGACACCAACAAGCTCCTTCACTCCATGCTTTGGACAGGACTCAAGCCATCAATCAAGGATGTCAGCGGACACAAATTTGATTTATTCTCCGATTTTGATGTTTTGCGAAGAGAACTACGGCAGATTGAGCGGGAACACAATCAACGCAGAGGTGACGGAAAGGTCAAAGGTAAACAGTCTGCAACAAGTATGGCGGCTGTAACTGAGACAACCACCCAAACAGAGTTGAAGGAACTTCGAGGAATGATCAAGAGCCTTACTTCTGAAGTTGCATCTCTCAAGAAACAACAGCAACAACCACCACAGGATCACTATCAACATCCTACAGGAGAACAAGCTCGATTTCAGTCGAAGTCCTATGATCAAACAGACAGGAGCAACACTGGATGGTATCCTCAATCTTCTTTCCAGACGCAACGGTATGACCAGTCACAATATAGAGGCAGATCTAGAGGACGACCATTTGAGAGAGATGTACAGTGCTTTCGCTGTGGACAGTTTGGACACATAGCTTCAGGATGCAGGGTCAGGATGGACCATAGTCGTCAGCATTTAAACGGGAGATGGCCTATGCGAAGGGGTGGCCCATAGGTCTCAACAAACAACAGACTGATACTCAGAGATATGATACAACAGCACTTGTAGGAAATGCCAATGAAGTCGATGTCTGTATTCAAGGAATCAAGACAAGAGCTTTATTAGACACAGGAGCTACAGTCTCCACGATGAGTCAGGCATTTTATGATCAATATCTCTCCAGTATTCCTATCACCCCCATTACAAGTGTTTTGGATGTTGAATGTGCTGATGGACAGCCTCTTCCATATACAGGTTATATTCAGGTTGACCTTGAGGTCAACGGTATTGATGCTGAATCTCAGTCATGTCTTCTACTTGTAGTTCCTACTAGTAACTATAATTACAAGGTACCAGTTCTACTTGGCACCAATATATTATCTGTTTACTTGGGAACTTGCAGACATAAGCATGGTGAAAAGTTTCTTCAAGACGCGAACCTTCACACGCCTTGGTATTTAGCTTTTAGGTGTATGGTGCTACAGGAACGCGATCTTGTAAGAAGAAATTTTCAGCTGGGATTAGTCAAGTGCGCAGGAGTTAAGAAGGTTATCATCCCACCCAACTCAGACGTCACTATCTCGGGCTATATTGACAAGGCGCTTCCCTATCGCAGTACATGTGCTATATTGCAAAGTACTGGCCGTTCAGCTATCCCCGATGATCTTGACATCTCACCCAGTTTGATCACTTACAGAGAGAAAGGATTCGTGGATGTCAACATTTCCAACATTACCACAAGGACAGTAGTCATTCAACCTCATGCACTTCTTTGTGAGATCCAGCCTGTCTTTGTTGAAGAACAGCCTACCTTGGAAGACAATTCTCAGGACAGCACTTCTCTCATTAATAAGATGGACATAGAATCTTCAAGAATTTCAACCACTCAGCATGAAGAGGGATTGAAAGTCATCTCAGACTATTTAGATATTTTCTCTCATGGTGACCTTGACCTTGGACACACTAGTACAGTGAAACATAGGATCGACCTCATTGATGAACGACCTTTCAAACAACGACATAGGAGAATTCCACCATCCATGCATAACGAAGTAAGAGATCATCTACATCAACTATTAGCTAGTGGAGTCATTCGTCGATCACGATCACCTTGGTCTTCTAATGTGGTGTTAGTACGCAAGAGGAATGGATCTTTGAGGATGTGCATTGATTTTAGACAGTTGAATCAAAGGACAGTTAAAGATTCATACGCTCTGCCACGGATTGAAGAGATGTTTGACACCCTCAGAGGATCCAGATTCTACTCCACAATGGATATGAAGAGTGGATATCACCATGTCGAATTAGAAGAACATCACAAGGAGAGAACAGCTTTTTCTGTGGGACCCCTTGGATTCTATGAATTCAACCGGATGCCCTTTGGTTTATGCAACAATCCTGCCGACGACGCCAATGTAACCGGAGTGGTTTATGTGAATGAATCACAAAACGCAGGTTAATTTGTTGATGCCAGTTGTTTTAATACAAAATAAAACGGCCCTGTGAAAATAAATACACAGAGTTACAATATGCACAATACGTACACATACAAATAAATCATTACATTATAACTTACTGACAAACATTAGAATCTTAAATATGATTATATACATTGTTATGATCAATCATAGTTAGCCTAATTAGTTTTGTCTTACTGTACTATAAATATTACAGGAGATTTATCATATAATAAATTGACAAACATAGTTTATCAATAATAGGTGAATGATGATAAATGCATTAATACATAACACACAATTAAAGTACATATCACTATAAATACATACAAAATATAAATGTCCTCACCAGGTGTATGGCACTGTGCCCTATGATGTCACAACATCAGATATTTGCTTTACAGGGACACACCTGAACATAAATACATATAACATAATTACAGTGTAACATATTACATCAATATGTTTACATCCTTAGGTATATACAATAACCCTAAAATATATATTCTAATTACTCACCTCATCATACAGACATACAGACATACATTCATACATGTGCAGCTAGGTGCAGAACTTTAATTTACAGGTAAATAGCTCCAGTCTATCAATAAATGTACTCATTATGCTTAGTTACACAATAAGTTAAGTAATATCAACATGAAAATGCTAGTTAAGATTATCTATTATAAACATACTTACATAAGGTATTTAAGCAAATTTAGCCTAACTACATTTACCTGAATACGATGACTGATATGATATATATTTATCACACCTAACAATATAAGCATTATTAAAAGAAGTTAAGAAACCATACATATGCACCTTAACAAACTCTTCAAAGCACTAAATAAGAACACATAAATATACAATTCAACCAAACTAACCTGTGACAATTGTCTCAATTATATCAGCGATGAACCGACTACTCCATACATAATCAACTACAAGTGTGAATTTAAACTGACCAGTACCAAGATCCTATCTTACGACAATGGACAAGATGTTTACAGTCTGGCAACAAACCAAGAAGACATGACTTCTGTGATTCCAATGCTCATTCAGTTTTTCTCAAGATCTCAAGTAATCTCCATCTTCAGCGGGGAATTATCTACAGAGAAGTAATAATCAACGGAGAAACTAGACAACAGTTGGTATTACCGGCAGACTACATTCAAGATGCATTAGAAGGTCTTCATAACAGCGTTGGTCATCCAGGAAGAGACAGAACCTTGGCACTCTTGAGAGACAGATTCTTCTGGCCAGGTATGTCTAAGGATGTTGATGACTGGATTAAGAATTGCAGAAGATGCATCTGTCGGAAGACTCCAACCAACCAGAGAGCTCCACTCATTGGAATTGAGACTACTCAGCCACTAGAGCTGGTGTCCATGGATTTCTTGGACCTTGAACCATGCAAGGGAGGGAAGCACAATGTGTTAGTTGTTACGGACCACTTCACTAGATATGCACAGGCATATGTTACCAACAACATGACAGCCAAAGTCACCGCTAAAGCCTTCTTTGACAACTTCATTGTTCATTATGGGATTCCACAGCGGATACACTCTGATCAAGGTGCTAACTTTGATGGGAATCTCATAAAGGAATTGTGCTTACTTACTGGCATGAAGAAGTCCAGGACCACACCGTATCATCCCATGGGCAATGGCATGTGTGAGAGGTTCAATCGCACTTTATGTGACATGTTGGGAACCTTATCACCTGACCAGAAGAGTGATTGGAAATCACATATTGGGCCTCTTGTACATGCCTATAACTGCACAAGGCACGAGTCAACTGGACAGTCACCATTCTTTTTAATGTTTGGTAGAGAGCCACGTCTTCCTTTAGATCTTGCTTTTGGGCTAGAACTTGGTTTGACACAGTCACTTGCAGAGTACACCCGATTACTCAGAGAAAGATTGAAGAAATCTTATGAACTGGCTGTGGCCTCAGCTAAAACATCTCGAGAGAGGCAGAAGAAAGGCTACGACATTAGAGTGAGAGGAGCCACACCACAGACTGGAGACCGCGTTCTAGTGAAAATATTGGCATTTGATGGTAAACACAAGCTCTCAGATAAGTGGGAAGAAGATCCTTACATCATTCTGCAACAGCCAAATCAAGATGTGCCCGTCTTTGTAGTGCAGAAAGAGAATGGTGAAGGTCGACAGAGGACTTTACATAGGAATCTTCTCTTGCCCATTGGTGCTCTTCATGACCCTGGAGAGATTGAAATATCACATGAACCAGAGCCTATATCATCTAGACCTGTACCAAGGCCAAGACGGTCTAAGCCACAACCAAAACCAGAGACACTCCCAGATGAAGACATTAGTCAGGAAGACATCATTGTAGAGATCCACACCCCAAATAGAGATGCTGCAGCTGCTGGTATACCCACAGATACCAATCAGGAGGTTCCTGCAGATGTGGATACTGCTACTCAGGCAAGTGGTGACGATCATGAGGCTGAGGCAGCAGTGGAGAACATTTCTGGTGACGACGGTCACATCCCAGGAGAGGGAGAAACAGAGGTGAATCCTACTGATGATGAAGTGGATGAAGATGCTGGTGCTACTACTCCAGATCTACACGAAGATGATGTCATTCCTTCAGCTGAAGACGAAACTAAAGATGATGATACAGTTCTGGATCAAGTTCCTTCAGCTGAAGCAGAACATGTTGACGAAATGGATGTCACAGGTGATGCTGTTCCAGATACAGACGGAGCTGATGTTGTTCCACGAAGGTCAACACGTGAACGACACCCTCCAAGTTGGATGCATTCAGGGCAGTATGCGCTTAGTCAGGCAGCAGTAGAGCCAGATTGGATGGTTAGGGTTCGTTATCTGGAGCATTTAACGAGCGCTGGAACATTGGAACAGACTACACCGGACATCACGAAAGCATTTATATCTATTTTAACACGCCAAAACTCAGAATGACGAAGACGTCATTTCCGAGGGGAGGGAAGAATGTAGTAGTATGTAATTATGTATATATCATCAAGTGTATTTTAAGGTCACCTCTTATTTTAATACCTAAGTTTTAGTCTACACTCCAATCTAACCTGCTTCACTAATACAATAGCACAGTCACCCTTGCGCTTGCCTTCTCTATTGTTTCTCTGGTTTCTATTGTTTAGCCCCAGCCCCTTACTTTCAGTGACAGGGTGCATTATGGGACTGGTCAGTTTAAATTCACACTTGTAGTTGATTATGTATGGAGTAGTCGGTTCATCGCTGATATAATTGAGACAATTGTCACAGGTTAGTTTGGTTGAATTGTATATTTATGTGTTCTTATTTAGTGCTTTGAAGAGTTTGTTAAGGTGCATATGTATGGTTTCTTAACTTCTTTTAATAATGCTTATATTGTTAGGTGTGATAAATATATATCATATCAGTCATCGTATTCAGGTAAATGTAGTTAGGCTAAATTTGCTTAAATACCTTATGTAAGTATGTTTATAATAGATAATCTTAACTAGCATTTTCATGTTGATATTACTTAACTTATTGTGTAACTAAGCATAATGAGTACATTTATTGATAGACTGGAGCTATTTACCTGTAAATTAAAGTTCTGCACCTAGCTGCACATGTATGAATGTATGTCTGTATGTCTGTATGATGAGGTGAGTAATTAGAATATATATTTTAGGGTTATTGTATATACCTAAGGATGTAAACATATTGATGTAATATGTTACACTGTAATTATGTTATATGTATTTATGTTCAGGTGTGTCCCTGTAAAGCAAATATCTGATGTTGTGACATCATAGGGCACAGTGCCATACACCTGGTGAGGACATTTATATTTTGTATGTATTTATAGTGATATGTACTTTAATTGTGTGTTATGTATTAATGCATTTATCATCATTCACCTATTATTGATAAACTATGTTTGTCAATTTATTATATGATAAATCTCCTGTAATATTTATAGTACAGTAAGACAAAACTAATTAGGCTAACTATGATTGATCATAACAATGTATATAATCATATTTAAGATTCTAATGTTTGTCAGTAAGTTATAATGTAATGATTTATTTGTATGTGTACGTATTGTGCATATTGTAACTCTGTGTATTTATTTTCACAGGGCCGTTTTATTTTGTATTAAAACAACTGGCATCAACAAATTAACCTGCGTTTTGTGATTCATTCACATAAACCACTCCGGTTACACGTATATTACTGTTTCTTCATTAATTCAATAAATGATTGCTGAATAAGTTTGTTTCTAAATCGTGCAAATCCGACAATCCTTCTGAAAGGTAAATTTTATCAGGATGTATATCATGTCTGTCTAAAGTTATTATTTAATTATTTCAGTGTAGTGAAATAGTTTTCGTGATTTTGCCATTGTATCAAATGTGAAGAGATATATTCGGTGCAGAGATTCACTGAAGATACCAGGAAAAGCGCACTAAAATCACTGCGATATTAAATGATGAACGCGTTTATGAATGAAAACTGTGCGGATGAACTCTGTTTGCTGCTTAAAATATAAAACCAGGAGATCAAATACTACATACAGTAACTACGTTTATAACGAACACGCTTATAACGAACTTACTTTTTTGTCCCGACTATTTGCTGTATTTATGCTGTATATATACTTATAACGAACTACGGTTATAACGAACTAAAATTAGAGGTCCCTTTGAGTTCGTTATAACCGTAGTTTACTGTAATATGTGAACAAAATCATGCCATTCGTGTGTGTAGAGGAAACGGCGATTATATTCTAAAAACATCAGTTACGCATCAATATATCACTGAGTGAGTGAATGCATATGGTATTACGCCGCTGATAGCAATACTTCTGCAATATGTCTGTTGCAGTGACGATTTTACGTTGTATTTTGTTTTATTTAAAAAGTCAATAAAAAGGTACCTAATATATTGTTTTAATTTGTGATTAATTTCATTGACCTTAATTATCTTTATCAACTCTGAGTCTATTATCAAAATAATTATTAAACTGACATGGTCTTACAAGTAACAACTTTGATTTGTTATTCTCATAATAATAGGTCTTCTCATAATAATAGTAGGTCTTCAGTCTGCTCTGGAAGCTGCACAGGTCTCGGGAACTTCTGATGTCAAGTGGTAGGCTGTTCCACAACCTTGGAGCTGCTCGTGCAAAGAGTGAGTGAGTGAGTTGGGTTTAACGCCGCTTTGAACAGTATTCCAGTTATATCACGGCGTGTCAGCTTACTGTGGGAGGAAAGCCCGAAGTGATGCAGGTCTCAGACGTTTACCACTTCGGTGAAACCCACGAGCACGGGTATGGTGCTGACAAACCTAGAAACATAATCGGGGCGAACCGGGATTCGACCCCACAATCATAGGTTTCTGGCGTGCCTAAGGGACGCAACTCTGCACAGCGAATCGCGGCGCCTTGGACGACTGTGCCACCCGTGCCCCCGCTTGTGCAAAGAAGGATCACCAAATCTGCTTGTTTGTGACGTGGGTATGCAAACTATTTTTATGTCACCTGAACGCAGATTGCGTCGAGGTTCATACTCACAAATCATGTTCTTGATATATGCTGATGCAAGACTTTGTCTTGCTTTGAAGATCAATGGGAAGATCTTGTACTTGATACGGTCAACGGTCAACGGTCTACGGTCACTTGAGCCAGTGAAGGTCCTTTAATATTGGTGTCATGTGATCTCGTCTTTAGGTCTTGTGACTAGCCGTGCAGCGCAGTTCTGGATGCGCAGGAGATTTGCTAAGAGATGTTGTGGTAGGCCAAGAAGCAAAGCATTACAATAGACTAAGTCAAGATGTGAACTTACGCATGCCCGTACTTATGTTGCAGCGGTCTTTGTGTTGATGAACCTACGGGTCTGGCCGATGTTTCTCATGTTGTCGTAGGCACTCTGGCACACTTTGTTTACGTGGGACTCAGCACTCAGAGTAGAGTCAAAGACAACTCCAAGACTCCGTGCCTCCTTACTTGATTTGATGACATTTCTTGCGATTTCACCATCATCATCATCATCATCATCATCATCATCATCATCATCTACATATAGCATCCAATATCATATATCATCCCGAATTATTATCCGGTGTGCAAGTAACAATCGATGGGAAAATATTTCTGCCTATTTCTTCCACGTTTTGATCACGTTATCATAATAATTGCGGGAAGATGTGTATTGACATACCACAATTTTTACGTGAATTCTGATAAGCTAGCATTGTTTCGACTCAAACGTCATATGAAACCATTGAAAAAACCCCGCAAGAATGCGAGATCGCGACACTTGACAAATGTCACGATATCGTAATCTCGTGATTTCGCGATCTCACGCTTTTGTGCCATTTGCTTATATTATACAGTTACATGTAACTATTTTTGAAAACGCTAGATCGTGAAACGCTAGATCGTGACCAGTTCTCATTCTTTTTTTACCAAATGCGCAAACTATGGTGGGGGATTAGGGCCATCGCCATATCGCCCTGGGACAACCACGCGAAATCGTGACAAAATGGTAGCACGGCGCGGCATCGCGACACGATATAGCGATATTGCGAAACAGCTCAAAACAAAGTTAACGCGCAATGACATGTCGATAGCACGACACGACATGACTATTACACGATACGACACGAAACTACACGACACGACATGGCGATAACATGACACGACATAGCGACAACACGACACGACATTGCGATATGGTAACGCGATACAGCTGAATAATGGCGATACGGCGACATAGTTATTTTACGAAATAAAGTAAGCGGGAACGTAGGATCATATTGATTATGAACATCTCATAATATGAGAGCGGGATGTAAGTTTGATCAACGCACTCGTAAGCAGGCACGACGGCACCCTGTATCTAACCGTTGCTCAATTGGTGTAAGGGGGCACGGGTGGCCCAGTCGTCTAAGGCGCCGCGATTCGCTGTGCAGAGTTGCGTCCCTTGGGCACGCCAGAAACCTATGATTGTGGGTTCGAATCCCGGTTCGCCCCGATTATGTATCTAGGTTTGTCAGCACCATACCCGTGGTCGTGGGTTTCACCGAAGTGGTAAACGTCTGAGACCTGCATCACTTCGGGCTTTCCTCCCACATTAAGCAGACACGCCGTGATATAACTGGAATACTGTTAAAATCGGCGTTAAACCCAACTCGCTCGCTCGCTCGCTCCCTCCCTCCCTCCCTCACTCACTCACTCACTCACTCACTCACTCACTCACTCACTGACGGAAAATGTGTTTTTGTTATTCCTTGGCAAGACGACTAATCAAATGAACTAATTAGAAACGCGTAATGATCACCGAATCCTACAAATTAGGCTAATGCTAATGCTCTGTTGTGTGCAAGATGAATGTCATATTCGCGAAGTAAAATCAAACATCAGATAACAACAGTTCAGTTTATTGTAAAATGTCATATCCATATAAAATCTTAAAACGATAATCGAAGGTACTTGCAGCTGAATTCAAACAAACTCCTATTTGAAGATTTTACGACGCATCTCTCTCAATACCACTGCTGATAACATTTCTCAAACGCAGTGTCATTCGACATACACAACTGATATCGTTCATATTTAAAATTACGTGCATGTGCTGAGGGATGACACTCAACAGGGCCTGAGGGTCCTCGTTTGCCACGAGCGGCTTAAATACGGGTGTCAAGTACTCAGTGATTATGTGGAAGTCACGATAGTGAGTGAGTGAGTGAGTGAGTGAGTATACACCAGAAACGGGCTTCACACATTGTACCCATGTCAGGAATCGAACCCGGGTTTTCGGCGTGACGAGCGACCGCTTTAACCACTAGGCTACCTGACCGCCCTCACGATAGAGAAGTCAAGATGGTATCAAATTGTTAAGTAGCTTTCTCTACTCCAGCCAAAATGTCTGTTAACGGACATACATGCAGTGGCAGGACTCACCTACCTAGACAAACGCTGCAAAACGCCAAAGAGATGTTTGATAAGACACCGCATTCTGTTGATTACATTTTTGTGTCTGAAACCTCTCACATGAAATATGATTTTGTGTTCGATGATCTTGTGATGAACATTAGCTAAGCAGGAAGTTAGCTTATGTTAACCTTTTATAACACACTCTCGTCATTTGGGGATTATCGTAAAAAATCTTCAACAATCGGCCTACCCCGAAGGCTCATTTGCTAGCCCAATAAGTTGAAATACACAAATTTTCATTTTGTTGTCCAATCACCCTTCAGCACATGATTACACAGTTCTAGCCTCACACATCTTTCCAGCACAAGCAAAATACTTGACAGATTCATGTCGAGGTGCTATTGAAGGAGGCAAGAAGCATACTTATCTCTTGGTTGGACACTTCTCCTTTAACAATCGACCCGTGAAGATCCAGGGTAGAATAGGACTAAGGTCTTCAGCAACCCATGCTTACCGTAAAGCGAGGCTATACGTGTCGTAAGAGGCGACTGAGGGGATCGGTTGGTCAGGCTCGCTGACTTGGTTGATGCATGTCATCGTATCCCAACTGCGTGGATGGATGCTCATGATGTCAATCACTGTATTGTCTGGTCCAAACTCGATTATATACAGACCGCAGTCATATAGCTGTAATATTGCTGAGTGCGGCGTTAAACAACAAATAAACCAAACCATAATACAGTTAGGTTGTGGGTTACGTTCATACGAGATATACTTGAATTACATTCCTCCATGGCAGCCCTATTGGTTTCTTAAAATATATTGAATATCTTAAGCTAGTACTTTGCCAAGGGTCATGATTTTATGACAAAGTGCAGATTTTGTCACGAAGCGGCTTCACTATATTGGCAATCTTAAACTGTTCGTATACACACACTTACTCAAATCCATAGGAACTGAAGGCGACTATGCTTGTCGTAAAAGGCGACTAACGGGATCGGGTGGTCAGGCTCGCTGACTTGGTTGGCATGTCATCGATCCCAATTGCGTGGATCGATGTTCATGATGTTAATCACTGGATTGTCTGGTCCAGACTCGATTATTTACAGACCGCCGTCATATAGCTGGAATATTGCTGAGTGCGGCGTTAAACAACACACCAACAACAACACCAACCATACGAACTGAAATGACTTGTACACCATAAACACTGGATGTATGTACGATGTATCATGACAAGTTATTGTTTAATGGAACGCTCGATTCTGTCCTGTTACTTTCAACTTCCTCGTACAATAACAGGTCGATGTAATACAAAACAAAGGGAAGGAAAAAAATGCGTAAAATATGTAACTATTGATATATAGAAAATGAAAATCATGTTTTGCTTGTCTATGAGGCTTATGCACTGTGTACATCCACCTGACTGATATATTCGATTCTAATGTCTGTTGATGACATTGAAATTGTTAGACTTTTGGCTCTGTTTGTTTTTCATACAATGCAATTACGAAACAACAGTGTTAGAGTTATGTGTAACAAGAAGACTGTATGTTGGCTGCACTGACAGTCTTTAACCTTCATTCATGTTGCAAATAAGATGACGCTGATGAATAAGCAGATGACATACATTAGGGAACTGCATTCCACATAAGACAAAAACCGGAAATCTGAACTTGCACCTTTATTTAGAAGCAAATACAATGGTGAAGATCAGAAAGTTGTGAGGACTTCATCCAACCGCAACTTCAGGCCCGGTGTCAAATGAGATGGCGAAATTCTTGAACCACGCGTAACAATCACGAAATGGGGCCCAGGTTGCGTTGCTCCCACCAAAGAAGGTGGAAAAGAAAATGCCATCAATGTTGACATCACTTTGTGACCGTAGTGCTAGGTTGTCATCGGCGTACACCACCTTCCCATTGTGCAACACCTTGATCGCCCCATCCGTGCTCCCGGGGGTGTTCAGCTGGATCGACTGTGCAATATTCTGCCATACGCCACGTTGAAACCGCCAGGACCCTCTGCCAAACGAAAAGCCCTTCACTGGATTACAAACATTTTTCGTACAGAAACCAGGGAGTTGGTGCGATGGGTCAGGAACATAGCCGTAGACTTCTCCGTCCCCATTTTCTCGCCACATGAACCTTGTAGAGAAGCAGTTTTCTGAGTGTCTCCCACCTGAACAATTGACCAGACCACCATACAATCCCGGAAGTTTGCCGCCTATGCGGAAGTCGAAATTTGGGTCGAATCGAACGTCATAACTCAAGGTCATGGCGACACGTGGTTTGATTGGAGTGGCAAAGAACTGCACCTTGCTGTTTGGCCCATGGTGGCTGTATCTCCCCTTCTCATAAAAGACTTTCAGAACGAGGTTGGAACCTCCATTTGGATCCGGAACTACTGTTGCTGATCCGTTGACATCTTCGTCGGTGACAGGACTATGCATGCCATTCCTGAAGTACACGGGGTCGAATTCATTGTGCGTCCACACAACGCTTGCTGTTGAAGAGAGAAATTTTAAGATGATGTTGAAGATTTTAAAGAATACACACTTTGCACATTGGTAAATTCTGTTTTACGCCGCAGTCAGTTATATTGGACGTGAACTTAATAGCTATAATTGTTTCGCCAGTAATTGACGTCTGCCTTCAATTGCGTGCTTTAGACCGTCTCTGTGGTCTAGAGGTAGAGCGTCCGCCCTGAGAGCGGGTTCGATCCCGGCCGCGTCATACCAAAATACGTTAGAAGATGGTACTTGTTCTTACCCTGTCTGGCGCTCGGCACTACAGAGCTAAAACAAGGACTGGTCGGCTCGGAGTCAGTATACTGTATACTGTATCAGCATCACTCCGGACTAGTACAGTCAGCCACACACAAACACACACGTGCATGCACGTCGTTATGTAAGTGCAATAGTCTTGGACGCGACGTTAAACTCCATTTCACCTCACGTCACCTGTCTGCTTTAATATGCACGAAAAGGGACACCATTAAGTATTACATGACAGGAAATCTTCAAAGTGACTGTCTATACCAATGTATGCTCTTTATTCACAGCATTAGAATGAATGTGATTTCACAAAGATATCTCCAGTGGACATAATGAAAATAGCTCACCCTCTGCTGTAGTCAGAAAGAAGAAGAGTAGATACGTTAAGATCTCCATTGTCCACATCTGGTCAAGGTAATGAAAGCAATGCATTACTATGTTTACTTCTTTTCAATAAATGCATTCATTTGAAAGTAACAGATCTCATTATAAACGCCATACTGATTACCGGCCGGACATTTGCATTATACTGAATATCAGTATATTTTGTAAACGTCGATCAGTCATGTTGTCATGAATGCGCCTCTGCAATTAAGTAAAATGAAATGTTTAGTGTTTGTACGTTTGGCGTTGTGAGTGAGTGGGTGAGTTGGGTTTTACGCCGCTTTTAACAGTATTCCAGTTATATCACGGCGTGTCAGCTTAATGTGGGAGGAAAGCCCGAAGTGATGCAGGTCTCAGACGTTTACCACTTCGGTGAAACCCACGAGCACGGGTATGGTGCTGACAAACCTAGAAACATAATCGGGGCGAATCCGGATTCGAACCCACAATCACAGGTTTCTGGCGTGCCCAAGGGACGCAACTCTGCACAGCGAATCGCGGCGCCTTAGACGACTGGGCTACCAGTGCCCCCTTTGGCGTTGTGAAAATGGTGATAAAAATGTTCAGCTTTCTGTCATGACATAGATGGTATTTTAGATTTTTCCTTCATGTCAATCGATATACTTTATTACTCAAAAGGGGGCACAGGTGGTCGAGTCGTCTAAGGCGCCGCGATCCGCTGTGCAGAGTATCGTCCCTTGGGCACGCCAGAAACCTATGATTGTGGGGTCGAATCCCGGTTCGCCCCGATTATGTTTCTAGCTTTGTTAGCACCATACCCGTGCCCGTGGGTTTCACCGAAGTGGTTAACGTCTGAGACCTGCATCACTTCGGGCTTTCCTCCCACAATAAGCTGACACGCCGCGATATAAATGGAATATTGTTAAAAGCGGCGTTAAACCCAACTCACTCACTCACTCACTATTCCTCAAAATATGTAGTTTATTGAGATTCGAATGAGGCTGTTGTTGTTCTTACATGACACAGTGATGCTTGAAGCATTATTTGAAAGATTATGACACAGTCTCAGTCTTGGTATAATGATCTATACCAAAACGTTTCAAAAACAATACATTAAAGAAGTAATATCCATAACCGTGTCATCTATGTCAACCGTCAACTGACAAGAATTGCCTGGCAATCTTTTCACAGATAATAGTGAGTGAGTGAGTATGGTTTTACGCCGCTTTTAGCAATATTCCAGCAATATGACGGCGGGGACACCAGAAATGGGCTTCACACTTGGTACCCATGTCGGGAATCGAACCCGGGTCTTTGGCGTTACGAGCGAACGCTTTAACCACTAGGCTACCCGACCGCCCCTCACAGATAATAGCATACTGTAACAGTCTCATGCAATCTGTTGGTTTCACAGAGCTAAAGCATACAGTGGCATTCTGTGTGTCCGGATTAATATAGTTCCAATTAGCAATTCATGGGTGTAGCATTCCTTGTGTCCCCCGCCGTGATATTGCTGGAATATTGCTAAAAACGGCGTAAAACCATACTCACTCACTCACTCACTCATGGGTGTAGAGTTATGTCCTTCTGTCAGGTTGTACTCGTTCGGACTGACGGGTCCGGACCAAGGGGCATCATGGCGGACGCAAAGCTGCGACCCCTACATTAAGTTCAAAGTCACCATCCTTCATGGTCGTCGACTCTTGTCCTCGCTTTTTTATTTCAAAAGTTTATCAAAGTGGCAATACTCTGATCAACCTACCAGAATACATTAGTGTTCAAACAAAAGCAACAAAACCCTTTCCATATTCATAAGACATCTCCGCGAAACGCAGAGTCGATTCTTTGACTATATATCATGAGCATGTGTTAATGAATCACTATCATGGTATAATGAAAGTTTACTTAAATAGTGAATGTAGGTTCTTCTATATTCTCCCATGAATGCTTGATTCTGATTGGTTAAAAAAGATTTTATTTTTGCTACGAAACCCTTTTAAATTTATAAAGCCTTTTCACTCAAAACACCGTGCTTATGAACACAGCTATAGCCTACATATCGATTCACAAAGTTGACAACCGATCGATCTCCCATAAGAACTGTAAAACGTATCTACTCTACAGTAGGGGGGCGGTCGGGTAGCCTAGTGGTTAAAGCGTTCGCTCGTCACGCCGAAGACCCGGGTTCAATTCCCGACATGGGTACAATGTGTGAAGCCTATTTCTGGTGTCCCCCACCGTGATATTGCTTGAACATTGCTAAAAGCGGCGTAAAACCAAACTCACTCACTCACTCTGCAGTAGAACTACATCACATTTTAAACCACGGTAGGTTTATATCTAAAATCGAAGCCCCTTCAAGCGGACAAAAGCGTAACATACCTTCCTTCCTGTCTGGTTAGAAAGCAGTGAAAGCAAGATGAGTACACACTGACCCTCATTGTCAAGAAAGATAACACACGCTCCATGTGATCAGTTCACAACTTAAAGGGCGATTACCAAAATTGATTCAGTTATTAGCGAGCGAGTGAGTTAGGTTTAACGCCGCTTTTAACAGTATTCCAGTTATATCGCGGCGTGTCAGCTTAATGTGGGAGGAAAGCCCCAAGTGATGCAGGTCTCAGACGTGTACCACTTCGGTGAAACCCACGAGCACGGGTATGGTGCTGACAAAGCTAGAAACATAATCGGGGCGAACCGGGATTCGACCCCACAATCATAGGTTTCTGGCGTGCCCAAGGGACGCAACTCTGCACAGCGAATCGCGGCGCCTTAGATGACTGGGCCACCCGTGCCCCCGATTCAGTTATTAATTTATATATAATTTATAATTGTGTCAGACCATGATTGTTATTTCAACGTCAAAACGACGGCGCGAATGTGCCCTGATGACCTGATGTCCAGTTACATAAAGCCCGACTGTGTTGCTCTGTTACCTTGTTCTTTATTTAAATGGGCCCGTGAAGATTCTGGTGTAGAATGGGTCTTCAGCAACCCATGCTTGCCTTAAAAGGCGACTATGCATGTCGTAAGAGGCGCCTAACGGAATCGGGTGGTCAGGCTCGCTGACTTGGTTGATGCATGTCATCGATCCAAACTGCGTGGGTCGATGTTCATGATATCAATCAGTGGATTGTCTGGTCCAGACTTGATTATTTACAGACCGCCGTCATATAGCTGGAATATTGCTGAGTGCGGCGTAAAACAACAAACCAACCAACCAACAACTTGATTTAATGATTATTGCTTCAAGAGGTAGCCTTGTTGTTAAAGCGTTCGCTCATCACACTGAAGCCCCGGGTCCGATTTCCGGCATAGGTTCAATGTGTGAAGCCCATTTCTGGTGTACACCGCCATCATATTGCTGGACTATTGTGGCATGAAACCATAGTCACTCGCCCACTCACTTACTCTTAGTTTGACTTATAGTGAGTGAGAGAGTGAGTATGGTTTTACGCCGCTTTCAGCAATATTTCAGCAATATCACGCAGGGGACGCAAGAAATGGGTTTCATAAATTGTTCCCATGTCGGGAATCGAACCCGGGTCATCGGCGTGACGAGCGAACGCTTTAACCACTAGGCTACCCGACCGCCCATTTTGACTTACCTATTTGATAAGACTGGGAGGCAATCTGTTATTTCTCACGTCTATACCACATGCATAGATTAGGTGCATGGTGCATGATACAATCATAGGTTAACAGCGTGCAAATCTGCACAGCGAATCACGGCGCCTCAGACGTCTTGGCCACCTGTGTTCTCCGTCGGATACAGATATGGGTGTATCTGCAATGTAAATGTTAGTTTAATTTACAATCAGTTATACAAGTAAAACATGTCGACCGTTGTGAAACCGAGTTGGAATTTATCCCCAGCAATCTGTACGTCTAACCTAATTGGCAGAGTTGGTGACTTGGCAGATGGAGCATCATTGTAACCAAACGGAGGGATCCTTACTCACGCTATCAGTCACTGATGACTGTTCAAACTGCTGTACAGTGGCATATTTTAGTTTGGTTACAACCAATAGATTCAAATAATACCATCATTAGATGAGAAAGATCTGTGTAAATCTACGACAGTAAGTCAGTCACAGTGAGAGCATGTCGTCATACATTTGCATCAAGTACAGGTCATCAAAATGGCCGACATGATAAACGTGACGGGTGAAGATTTAAGAAGATTTTGATGAACCTGTGGCCATTACACGTGTCAGGCATCACTGATCACTTGACCGATCATTGAAAGGTGATTGATTAAAAAGATTTGCCATGTAGATACTGGGTTAAAATTACACATTGCTGTAGATTGGCACTGTTAGTCTAGACACTTATCGAGTTGATAGTTTTGATTTAATGTGCATTTCTTCGTTTTGTGCACTAGATGGGTCGTAGCAAGCATATATTCTTAAACGGACATGCCGTCAGACTCTTTGACTTTTCCTAATGTATGCTAAACTTATAGTGTAGTGTCTAAGTGATCAGAAACAACACTTCTTGATTTTTGCGTTCACGGAAATTCCTAGGAATTTTTCCATGTACATGTATGTGGATGTAGTCCTTTAGTGTTTACGTCAACTGAAGAATACAGTTTCGTCAAAACGGTATGAACGCCAACGTGTGTCGTTCATACGCCAATGAACGGCGGTTCTGCAGTCATGTGATCGACCCTTTGTCCAGTGGAAAAGCCATATATCGTGTAAACGCCACATTAACAAATTATCAATAGATAACGCATTCCTACATGAAGTGTCATTGCACGTCGGCTGCCTGGCACCGTCACGATAAAGACATTTAAAAATATTTGAAGCCGACTTCACTACCGGCTGGTATAAATACTCTATGTACAGGCACTGACTTATAACATTTTATGAATTAATAATTGAGACGAGAATGCCCATTTCCACAACAAACACATCATAACTATTTGCAACCAACATTTAATCAATCAAATTGTCCATTTGATACACTATTAATCCATAGTCCTGGCGTACTTTGCAACTCCCAACATCTGGATGACGTAGGTGTAGGCGTCTGAGGACCAGAAGGGAAAGAACACGGCGTTGTCGTTGTAGCCGGGGAAGACGGTGGGTGTGTGGTAGTGGCCCCAGATATGCTTCATCTTCTGTTCATATTCTTCCTCTGGAATGACGTCTTCAACCCCCATAATGGCATGACCATGCGCACGAAATGTGTCGTTGATTCTTGTGCCATTGAACAGCTCAATTCGGTTCATCGGATAGAAGTATGGTTCTGTCTGCAATGAAAAGGAAGCCTCAATTTACAATCAGTTATACGAGTAATACCCGTCTTCCGTTGGGAGAACGAGCTAGAATTGATCCCAGGCGAGCCGTACGTGTAAGAGGCGACCTCGTTCTGATGGTCATGCTCGGTGACTTGGTTGATTGCAATCACTGTTACCCGGCGCTGTAGATCGTATCTAATTATGTCAATCATTGTATTGTCGGGTCGAGACTCCATAATTTACAGGATGCTGTCATTTAGCGGAATAGTGCTAAGTGCGCCGTAAAACAACAGACAGGCTATTTCGGTCACAACAAACCGTCACTGCCATGTTTACCTACGCTATATACTAATTCTAACATGACATTGATGAATGCTTGATTCTGATTGGATAAAAAGATAAACGCCTTTCAAATATATTTAGTCTTTTCACACAAAAAGCTCGAGTAAGAATACATCGATAGTCTTCATAAAAAATGGCTGCCGATCGATCTCGTGACGGAAAAACATGTTTGGTCCATAAAGGGACATTTTCGTAACAACTGTACTGTACACATTGAAGCCATACCTAATTCAAGTACCAATTTTGTCTTTAAATGAAATGTCCCCAATAAAACGAATGCTACTTCTATCAACGAAGAATTGCTCTTCCGGGGGGAAAATGCACATGTTCTTGTTCTTTGCCATAGACTCGAGGCCTGCGCACGTTTCAACACCATGGTCCAGGTGTATTGTCCTCGTAAAGCTAATGATACTAATATGTGAGTGAGTGAGTGAGTTAAAATTTTAAGTCACATCGGCAATATTTCAGCCATATCGTGACTTTCCATAGTTATTGATAATACATATATTGAAATTTATATAAAAAAACTGTCACCAAAGGACAGTAAAATAACTAGATTTATCACAGAAAAAGATATAAAACTAGTATGGAATCATAAAAGAGAATAGCACTATGCATAACGATACAAGATAAAAACGGGCTGCAGATCGTCAGCAACTGAAGGCAGACCACCATACTGGGGACCATGGGGACTTGCAGTACCTTTGCTACCTGCATGGACCCCAGCGAATTTACATAATCCCTTCAGCAACTGGCGATTGTACGCAAAGTTAGCCACAAGTAGAAATACAAATATTCTACGTTAAAAAAGCAGTAGGCATAAATATTCTTTGAATGACATGTACTTACGATATCCTCTTAGTAGGATACTAATGTTACACTACATCAACCCCCTTTGAGAATACGGCCATATATATGGAATTATAATTTCATTCTACTAGTTTAAAAAAATGCATTATACACAAAACATATTAACAAAAGTTATGATACAGTTCTATCTCTTTTAAAAAATCAATAATTAAAAAAGTACTCATAGTATTAAAAATATCCTTTTAGATTTGACCTGAAAATATTTATCCCTTGCGATGGAAAAATCAACACAGTCAAGCAAAATATGCTTGACGGTGATTCTTTCATCACAAGGGATACAGAACGGAGGATCCTCACCTTTCAACAAATATTCGTGGGTGTAACGACAATGGCCAATGCGACATCTTCTCATAATGACCTCTTCAAATCTGGACTGACAACCCAAGTTGATACTAATATGTCATACTGGCAGCTATGTGTATACGTACTGTATGTCCCTTGTAGGAGCCGGAGAAGAAAGCATTCCATGGTTCAAACCCACTGAACATTCCGAAGTAGTACAACCAGCTGACGATTCTGTCGACTGTAGTCTTTACGTTAGCGGGTGTATCTATAATGAATAACGTACATGATTTTAGTTCTGTACTAAGTGATAAACCAGAATCAGGGGTTAACCAGAAGTCGATGGTCGTCCAGTCGTGCCTCGTTTATACGCACACTTGCGTCATTTCATAATTATAATTATAAACGAATATCCGTAAAACTGAACTAGCTTCTTACTGGAAGAGTTACTTCCCTTCAATTATGCAACTCATGACGGATGACAGAGCAAACAGATACATCCACTCAATCTTTATTCAAGACATACACGTTTGAATTTCCGTATATACGGGTAAATTTATATAGTTATTATTTAGTTTTGAATGAAAATCGTCCGGGAACCGTGGTTTCCGGATATCTGAAGTCCGTATAAGCGGGGCATGACTGTAATCCTACACGAATGTGAATAAGTGTTAAAAACTACTGTGGTATTTAATATCTGCCAAATGTGTAGAGCTGAATAACTTAATCCATCGTTCAACACTTGGACATGCTCTATTAGCCCTTTAAAGGAGATATTCATATTATCTGAAATATATCGCTCAACAATCGAAACGAGCATGATGAAATCTGTTACAAACTGAAACCTCGTTTGTCTGGAAACCCACCACACGCAGGACGATTATAATTATATATACAGGAACACAGAACTGGCACCAGTATAATACACATATGGTTCGATTCTCCACATGGAAACTGATTGTGAAGCCCGACGAGATATTGCTGGAATATTGCTGAAAGCGGCTTAAAATCTTATTCACCCGTCCAATTCCTGCGAACACATGATAATCCATGTTAAATTGGAAATTTGTTCATCCGATGGTTTCCTTGGAATCGTACCGTTCGTATAAACGAGGTTTCATTGTAGAAATCTAAAACATCAAACACTGCAGGTTGACAGTTGACATCGACATATTGATGTGTTCATACAGACTAGCTGTCGTGTGGTATTTGAGGAAAGTAAGGAATCTCTACCTTTATCCCAGATGACCTTCTCGGTGTGCTGGTCCTGCGTGGTCCAAGTGGTCATCAGAGCATTCAGTGCCATGGAAGTCGTGAAGATACGGTCCTCCGCGTTGTTCTGCAATACATCTTCACGCAATGTTTATAGGTACATGTGTTGAAGCGCTAAATTGCATCTAAGTGGTTAGCCTTTTAAGATCCTGGTGACTTACCAATGATGAATATGATAATAGTTAAAATGTCCTGATCTCACAGAGAGTTGCACATAAACATATTCGACATGGCTTGAATGCTCTGTCACCGTAGGTCTTGGTTTTCTGTGGCAACCTTCGTCTGTACAGCATAGCAAACAATCAATGGCATAAACCAAACTTACAAACAAATGTCCACAGTCACCAGCGGTGATTTCAGGTAAGACTTTAGGTCCCTATCAAACTATGCAGGTCGTACAGGGCGAGTAAACTGATCGTGTGTTCCTGGAGATACGAATTTGCTTGTCGTGAGAGGCGACTAACGGGATCGGGTGGTCTGACTTGGTTGATTCATGTCACTGTATGCCAATCGTGTGTACTGATGTTGTGGTGTCAATCGCTGGACTGTATGGTCCAGACTTGATTTATTGACAGACCACCTTCATAAATCTGGAATGGTACCGCTGGTGATATTCAACAACATACAAACAAAATAGTGCAGATCACGTACGATCTTATTCTGCCAAAATAGTCTTAGTCTCAGTTAATGTCAAAGTATTTTATCTTCTCCGGCTCATATAAACATCATATACCATTCATTCACAGCATGACCCTCAACCCAGATGAACCAGCTGGACACTGTTGATTTAAGTTAAATTTATGAAATTATTAACCCCTTCAATTATATTATTGGTTAAAGGTGAGTTTCGATGTCAACGTCAAGTCGACGTCTTGTGTCCCCTAGGCCTGTCGTTACATTGCTGGAACGTTGCTCAATAACACTTTCAGAGCATAACTTCTCCTGACAACACATTAACTTACCACAGTTTGGTTTTCATATGATTTATCGGCATTGCCGAGAAAGTCGTCATAGTATATGAGGTCATATCCTGCTTGAGAGCCTTTCTTGCCCTGGGTGACAAGTCTGGGGCTGGCGTATGTTCTCAGTACACGCTTGAAGTCCGCTAGAACCTGATCCATGCCCTGCAAGTAGGAAGGAAATATTGTACATCGACCTGTACCGTCAAGATTTATGTTACTTGACTCTTTAAAGATTTGTAATGCAAAAGTTTGTCATATCTAAGAGATTTTGTGACGACGTTGCATATGATGTGTTTATGTAGTTCAAGAGCTGGTACCACATGTAATCTTTCATACAGGCTAAGACTTAGTCTTGATGCGTTCAACAACTGATTACAGAATGTGTGCTGTCGTTGAGGCAATTCACTTTGATCAGAATGTTTGATCAGCATGATCACAATCATGATCCAAGAGTGTATTAGCTTTCATCAGAACACCTATTTATCAACACCTCCGATAGCTAATTTTCGACAATAACAATGTAATCAGGGTTAGGCCTTTCAGAACAATTAGGTTTAGCCTTAAAGCTTGTCATCACCTTATGTGGCAGCGATCCCGTCCTGTCCAGAGTTTCCTGTAGTTTGTTGTACGTCCTGGCCACGAACCAGTAGAACTCTATGACAGAGGGGTAGTACGTCAACGCCAGGTCTGCTCGGTCGGAGAAGTTAGTCTGAACTTGGAAAGCGATCATCCTCGATGTATCATTATAGATTTGCTGAAAGACAGAAATGCTTACATTGACTAACCAGGACTTTCTTGAAGTCGCCCAGAGACCACAATTCCAACAAATTTGACGTTGGTTTTTATCGTTGCTTTGAGCGGTACATTCTACTTCAGTTGTATCACGGCATTACAGATTCATTTGATGCAGGTCGCAGATCTTTAGGAAACAAACGAACATGGGTATAATGCTGAGAATGACATACATCTGTTCAGTGATTCTGGAGTTTGAACCCGTTTGAATCGTTCAATAACCATCAAATAGCCAATTCCCTTCCACTGATTTACCCATCTGGACTAGAAATAAAGGAGACCAAAGAGTGACAAAACACTCTCCACAAGACCGTATGACAAGAGGATTGACTTATACGTTCCAATAGTATACTTTCTCTTCATGTTGAGCAATATGTCAGACGTTCCAGCTTTTGGAGTTTACATTTCCCTACTTTTGAGACACAATCGAGCATGCTCTTTCTACCAAGATTTCAAAGAGTGCTATACGACTCTTGCTCTGAAGTTGTTGGATCAACACTTAAGGCCTCAGTAAAGCTTTCACAAAGTTTTATGGTAGACATGTGGAGAACATTTCCAAATCTGACGCATCAGTGACAAAAATGTTGTCCGATGCAATTCTCAATTTACGTGTGCCATATGATCCCGTGTTCACTCAGATGAACAATTGACTTCACTTTGCATGTGTTTCTGATGGATGCCACCGATGGGCCAGGATATGCTGACCTATTCGCGAACACGTGGTATCATCACTATTTGATAGTGATTCATAAACTCATGCTCATGATCAACTCGGAATCGTACAATCGCTTTCAGCAGAGATTTTTATTAAATATGGAACAGATTGGTCGCATTAGTTTACCGCTTTGACTGACCATTATTTCAGGATCATCCAACAGTGATGGTTGAAAGAGGCCATTAATGATTCCATTGGTGACGCCAAATATGAAGTTGGCACACACAGTGACGTCAATGTTGTTAATGTTGTAGGGCATCATGACTCCTTTGTCAAACCAAGTGCGAACCTCGTCAGTGTCCTGGATCTGCATACAACAATGTAAACCTTAATATTTCAATAATCTCAGTTTTGTCACACTGCCATGGGGGACTGGAGTCGGCAGGAATGCATGGAATTACTTTACAAAACGATCTAAGCGAAAGTCTTACTTGTTGTGCTGAGATATAAAGGTCCTTTGACGCCGATGTCTCAGATATACAGAACGTACAATTGGTGTGATCTCCAAGGTGTGTGGGCGCTAAATCTACCGTGCCTCCTGTAAGTTTGTCGTTCTAGAGTCGTCAATGTAGCCTCACTATATGTTTCTATATATGGTTCGCGTTTCTTTTGGCGGTGAGTATGATCTAAATGCTGGACCTACGAGATTCGTCCGTTTAACTCGTTTAAGGCATATAAGCGTTAAGATAATAAAAAGTCCACTATGCTTGAAGTATGATAGTAGCTTTAACAACCACATCGCCGTCATGCTTTGTTGACATATATTCGTTCTTGTAGGTCTAAGTTACATAAGCAAACTGCTACTCATATCTCCGACACGCTGAACGTGTGCTAGTCGTGTATGAACATGAAAGAATAAACTACGACTCTCGTGTCTCTAGTCATACGGCAGCAGTAAATGTCTCTCTGAAGACAACTCGTGAAACAAGTCCAACGACCCGCAGTTAGTCCTTGATATGTTCCATGGTATATATGATCCACGTATCTGTATTCATGCTGACGTTAATGATACTTTAATCAGTGACATCTTCAGCACTGTTGAATGTTAAAAGGGTACTACGTGACATACTCCTAACTGTTATCAGAAGGTTATAGAAATAACAATATTCATGAACCCGCCTTTTTATCTGTGTCTGACATACAGATAATAATAGGTTAAATGGTACGACTTTACGCATGTATACAAACCCATGTTGGCACTAAGGCTACATCGTGTCCGGCTTGTTTCTCCTGCTCCAACCAATGTCTGAGGTAGTAGTACGTCCTGGAGTCGATGGTATTTACCCTTTGGTTCCCAGAGAAGGGTCTGTGTGATATACAGAATTAGCGGTATAATCTTGAAATATTTGAAAATAATACTTTCGGATGATATTGATCAAACAATAACAATACTATATTGGGAATTCAATGAATATGGAAGGTCCCTTCCATGTAAATACATATACCTTGGCCACATTGGTGTTACAAGTGGCCCGAACTAAGCATTGAAGTTGGTACGTCAGAGGAAAAGGGACCTAGAGGCCACTCCGTACGTATTCTAGATCTGTACCTTCCTTTCCTCTTAGCAGGAGCATTAAATGGCATGACGCCCTTTTCCTTTCAACATACAGTTAAAATCGCGGGTGCTTGGGTAAAGTTTAATATTGTAAAGTTTCATGTAAATGTTTTAACATTTATAAACAAACATCAGAATAGAACAGTTTTGGTGTAATCTTTTGCATGTGTAACTTAATGGTTCTTCCTTGACCCGGGAATTCTCAAGGTAATTAGTTCTTGATCATAAATTACTTCAATTTAATTTTGCTTTCTATCCATGAACAGCTGCTTTATCAGGTAAGTAGTAATTATAGCAAGGAAGCAACTAAACATTTATCAACAAGAAACATGTACTTTTAACAGATTTCGAGTGTCGTCCCCAGGATGGCCTTTGGCTCTAATTATGTTTACACATTTTTGTCGTCTCCTTGACCACCATGTACTCTTCAAACTGTTGTCAAATGATTATCGTCTCACACAATTGAAGGGTATAATATTTTGTAGAGAATCTTTGATTTTGATGTATCACATTTTCTGTAGGCGATTAGTTAGGATTGGTTAGCAATTAGTAGCGCAGGATACGCGCACCTTATCGGAAACAGCTGGTGTCATTACTTTTTTCATATTGGCTCATCAACACATTTTCATGATACCGTAATCGATTCTGCTGTCAGCGGATATTTCTTGGGATTATGGAAATGGTTTATTCGCTTTAAATTACTCATCTTTTCACGTCTTTTAGTATTGTGCGTTCAGGACAGACACTCTATCCACTTCACCAAGGACTCATTCACGTACTAAGATGAAGACAAGCATGCCCTCTACCATACTGACCTGTAGGCGTAATACTTGAGGGCGTCGAACACAGATGTGAGATTGGTGTTGTGGGATCGCCACATCTTGTCGTAGGTTGGGTACAGATGGGACATCTCTGAGAGGAGGGAACCGAGACCAATGTTGAGGAAGGTGTCATCAAAGTCCGGGGGGATGTGAAACGCATATGTGTAACCACCCCTGTATCCAAAGAAATCGGTCAATATTACAGTTATAGCACAGGGCGTGAGCTTGATCAAAGATGAAAGCCGGAAGTAATGCCTGACTTAGACGTTTACCACGTCAGTGAAACCCACGAGTACGGGTATGTTGCTGACAGAGAAGTAGTATCAGGTCGAATCTTAGAATCGAACCCATGATCACAGTTTTGTAGCAGGCCTAAAGGACGCAATTCTTCACGCCGATTGCACAACAACCTGTTAGATTTTGGTTTGGTTTGTTATTTAACCCGCACTGAGCAATATTCCAGCTATATGACGGTGGTCTGTAAATAATCGAGTCTGGACCAGAAAATCATGTGATTTACATCATGAACATCGATCCACGCCATTGGGATCGATGACGTGCATCAACCAATCAGCGAGCCTGACCACCCGATCCCGTTAGTCGCCTTTTACGACAAGCATAGTCACCTTTTACGTCAAGCATTGGTTGCTGAAGACCTATTCTACCCCGGATCTTCACGGTTCACAACCTGTTAGTGGACTTTGCTAACCGTGCCTCCACGAACACTGAATGCTGGAGCCCATGTCAGTTGATTCGTGGAGTGACACGGTCCTGAATAACGTATTGCTGTGTTATTGACCACGTACTGATCTCTTACAGCACCCTAACTAGCAAGGATACAATCAACACTAAGATATGTTGTGTATAATATTTATACAAGAGGTTGTCAGATATATCAGGGTACTTACATATGAAAAACATCAAAATAATACAGACCTGATACTCATTAAGGCTTTGATGATCCCCTCAACATCTTTCAGACCCAGTTTCTCGAGGAACTCATACGTCGCATTCAGTGGCATGGCGTCAGTCGTTTTGATGAGGTCATTGAGATTGATAGGGTAACTGTTATAGACTCCGAGTGTCTCATTGTATTTCTGAGGCCAGAACGTCATCAGTGAGTTAGAATAGTTCACATTCATATCATGGTGGCTCTTAATGGCATTCAAACCATTTGTCATTTCTTCGTGCGTCGGTCCATACGATGTGCTATTGATATACCTCCTTCCTTCGACCAAGCAAGCCATAACGTAGGTGGTTGTGAACATATTGTTGTCGAATATGCCAAATAGTTCTCTGAACAATACATAATCTGGGTAACCGTGGAAGTTCAGCTTGACATCACTGGGCCACATTCCTTGTTCCTCATCCCATCTGAACGGAGGAAAGAAGTGCTTTGTTTTAGGTACTTGCAGGTCCATAACTTGCGACTTCAATGTTTCAGTCGCCAACTTCAGTGACGGTAGATCAAATGGCAACTCATCGGGTGTGACGATTGATATCAACAACAGAAATATAATATTCTGCAGTACCATGTTCAAAATGTCAAATAAATCTAGATGTGTCGAATTTCAGTGGTTGAAAATATATACCTAGTGCTCCAAAAAGTAAGATTGATAAGATAGCACTCTGAGAGATCATTGTGTCTGAAAGCAGGTGTTTTTCTGAATGTCAAGCTTTATCTATATCTTCTTGTGTCGTATGTTTGAAATCTGCTCGTACCACTAGGAATCTCATCAGGCCATAAGTGAATAACCGACATGGAGTTGTAACATATAGGTACGTGACGTCATAACATTTAGGAGAACTATGACGTCACAATACCAAGGTGAAAATGGACAAAGAACATACGCCTTACATTTCACTTAGGCGCGTATTTATGAATAAAACGTTGCTCTTTTTTAAATAATGTAGGTGCACGATCAAAATTTATCTTATATAGCGGGAAAAGTAAAAAGTTGTCGTTGCCACATGCATCTTGATGTTGAATCATCTTGAATCGTGTGGTTGTGTGGCTGCCTTATTTGTGAACAGTGAAGATTCATTCTTCTTTTCAATTTATGATCTTTCTGATATACCTTTGATGGTACCAACTACAAACAATCAGGTAAATAACATTTCTGGTATTACAAGTCATATTTTCGTTTACAGTAAATTTAGTATCTTCTGTAACTTCAATTATGTTGCTGCAAGTAAGGCAGCATTTGTCACTGCACTAAGGCATGCCTCTGATTTGTGGATGTTCCAAAACCCTAACCAGACATTTGTATTTGATGCCCTGAAGCGTTATGCCTACAGGTACCACCGTAATGTATGCATCACTCTGACTACAGGTACGACGTAACCATCACTCTGACTACAGGTACGATGTAACCATCACTCTGACTACAGGTACGATGTAACCATCACTCTGACTACAGGTACGATGTAACCATCACTCTGACTACAGGTACGATGTAACCATCACTCTGACCACAGGTACGACGTAGGCATCAGCCTACAGCGGTAAGACGGGTGTATCAGTTTGTCTACAGGTAAGACGGGTGTATCAGTTTGCCTACAGGTAAGACATGTACATTGGTTTGCCTCCAGGTAAGACGTATACATCAGTATGCATCCAAGTAAGACGGGTGTCTGTTTGCCTACAGGTAAGACGGATGTATCAGTTAGCTAACAGGTTGGACGTATGTATCCGTTTGCCTATAGGTAAGGCGGATGTATCAGTATGCCTCCAGGTAAGACGGGTGTCTGTTTGCCTACAGGTAAGACGGATGTATCAGTTAGCTTACAGGTTAGACGTATGTATCCGTTTGCCTATAGGTAAGGCGGATGTATCAGTATGCCTCCAGGTAAGACGGGTGTCTGTTTGCCTACAGGTAAGACGGATGTATCAGTTTGTCTACAGGTAAGACGGGTGTATCAGTTTGCCTACAGGTAAGACATGTACATTGGTTTGCCTCCAGGTAAGACGTATACATCAGTATGCCTCCAGGTAAGACGGATGTGTCAGTTTTCCTCCAGGTAAGACGGATGTATAAGTATGCATCCGAGTAAGACTGGTGTCTGTTTGCCTACAGGTAAGACGGATGTATCAGTTAGCTAACAGGTTAGACGTATGTATCCGTTTGCCTATAGGTAAGGCGGATGTATCAGTATGCCTATAGGTAAGACGGGTGTCTGTTTGCCTACAGGTAAGACGGATGTATCAGTTAGCTTACAGGTTAGACGTATGTATCCGTTTGCCTATGGGTAAGGCGGATGTATCAGTATGCCTCCAGGTAAGACGGATGTGTCAGTTTGCCTGCAGGTAAGACGGATGTATCAGTTAGCTTACGGGTAAGACGGATGTATCCGTTTGCCTATAGGTAAGGCGGATGTGTCAGTTTGCCTACAGGTAAGACGTTTACATCAGTATGCCTCCAGGTAAGACGGATGTGTCAGTTTTCCTCCAGGTAAGACGGATGTATAAGTGTGCATCCAAGTAAGACGGGTGTCTGTTTGCCTACAGGTAAGACGGATGTATCAGTTAGCTTACAGGTTAGACGTATGTATCCGTTTGCCTATAGGTAAGGCGGATGTATCAGTATGCCTCCAGGTAGGACGGGTGTCTGTTTGCCTACAGGTAAGACGGATGTATCAGTTAGCTTACAGGTTAGACGTATGTATCCGTTTGCCTTTAGGTAAGGCGGATGTATCAGTATGCCTCCAGGTAAGACGGATGTGTCAGTTTGCCTGCAGGTAAGACGTATGTATCAGTTAGCTTACGGGTAAGACGGATGTATCAGTTTGCCTACAGGTAAGGCGGATGTGTCAGTTTGTCTACAGGTAAGACGTATGTATCCGTTTGCCTATAGGTAAGGCGGATGTATCAGTATGCATCCAGGTAAGACGGATGTATCAGTTTGTCTACAGGTAAGACGGATGTATCAGTATGCCTCCAGGTAAGACGTGTGTATCAGTTAGCTTACAGGCTAGACATATGTATCCGTTTGCCTATAGATAGGACGCAAGCATCAGTATGCCTACAACTTAAACGTATGTATCAGTTCGCCTACTAGGGAGGCGTATGTATCACTTTGCCTACAGGTAAGACGGATGTGTCAGTTTGCCTACAGGTAAGACGGATGTATCAGTTAGCTTACAGGTTAGACGTATGTATCAGTTTGCCTACAGGTAAGTCGTATATATCAGTTTGCCTACGCGTAACATGCATGCATAATTTTGTACACTACATCCCCTTATTTTACAACAATGCTGATCATACGGTCAACATGACTCAAGTACGTGGTCTCCCAATCAATAAGATGACAGGACATTGACACGATTGAAGATGCATCTTGCAAGGCAGCACTAAACGAAACTGAAAGGCAATTATGAATTCAACCTGTTGTTGTTGTACAAATCTTATAGTATATGGATTCCACATAGACATTAACCAATTATTAAAAGACAGCGTTGAGACAATATTAATGTATGGTACTTAAGAATTAGAAAACTGCCCTCTATCCTACTATTAGTAATCTTAATTTTATTGTTAGCGAACACCATAATATGAGCAAAAAAGATATATATAGCATGTTTTTAGTTTGGTTACAACCAATAGATTCAAATAATGTCATAAATAGATGAGAAAGATCTGTTTAAAACTACGTCAGTAACGCCAGTCACAGTGATAGCGCGTAACGCATTTACATCAAGTGCAGGACATCAAAATGGCCGACACGATAAACGTGATGGGTGGAGATTTCCGAAGATGTTAATGAACCTGTGGCAATTACACGTGTCAGGCATTACTGATCAACTGCCCGATCATTGAAATGTGATTGATTATAAAGATGTGTCAAGTAGATACTGAGTTAAAATTTAACATTGCTGTAGATGGTCACTGTCAGTCTAGACACTGATCGAGTTGATAGTTTAAATGAGCATTTCTTCGTTTTGCTCTCGGGGATGGGTCGTAGAAAGCATATATTCGTGGACGGACATGCAGTCAGACTCTGTGACTTTTCTTAATGTATGCCACAATTATAGTATCCAAATGATCTGTGTTCATGCGTGCAAGGGAATCACCAGGGGTTTCCCCAGGCATGTGGATACAGGCCTTCTGTGTTTACGTCATTTCAAGAATAGACTTTCGGCCCCTTGTTCAATGGAAAAGCCATGTATCCACCGTAACAAATTATCAATAGGTAACAGATACTTCCATGAAGTGTTAAAGACATTTAGAGCCGACTTCATTTTCGGCTGGTATCAATATTATATGTATAGGCGCCGACGTGTAGCACTTTGTGAATGAACAATTGAGGTGATAACGCCTATTTACACCACAAACACAACATAACTATTCGCAGTATTTAATCAGTCAAATTGTACATTTGATACACTATTAATCCATACTCCTGGCGTACTTCGCAACTCCAAACATCTGAATGACATAGGTATAGGCGTCTGATGACCAGAAGGTTAAGAACACGGCGTTGTCGTTGTTGCCGGGGAAGACGCTGGGTGTGTGGTAGCGGCCGCGGACATGTTTCATCTTCCGTTCATATTCTCCCTCTGGTATGATGTCTTCAACCCCCATTTTGGCATGACCATGAGCACAAAACGTGTTGTTGATTCTTGTGCCACTGAACAGCTCAAGTCGGTTCATCAGATAGAAGTATGGTTCCATCTGCAATTCTAAGCCAGCCTTAATTTACAAGATGCGATCTCGTTCTGATGGCCATGCTCGGTGACTTAGGTTGATTGCGATCACTGTAACGCGGGGGCGTTGATCGTTACTCATTATGTCAATCACTAGATTATCGGGTCGAGACTCCATATTACACAGAATGCTGTCATTTAGCTGGAATGGTGCTAAGTGCGTCGTAAAACAACAAACAAGCTAATTCTGTCACAACAAACCGTTACTGCAATGTTCACCTACGCTGTATACTAATTCTACCATGACATTCATGAATGTTGATTCTGGTTAAAGAGTTTTTCTTTTTGCTACGGAAACCCCTTTCAAATGGATTAAATCTTTTCACACAAAAAGCGTGCATATGGAGACATCAATAGCCTTCATATCGATTCATAAAAAAATTCTGCCGATCGATCACCCCCATATGAACTGTAAAACGTATCTATATTTTCTCTTTTACACGCTGGGTCTCAAATACAAGCCAGGTCTCCAAAACACGCCGAGTGAAGCATGTCTGAGGAAACTTTATTCAAGACAACAGGTTGCTTAGAAACCATTTGTGAATTTTTGCCATCTCCGTCTACTACCACCGTAAGAATTTGGCAGGAGAGGTGTTTAAAGTCCATCATAAAAAAACTCAAATTGACAGGACAAATCATGCAGATACCTCGTGTCAAAATAGATGGCTTGTCTGCAGCCATAAAAGCGTCTTGTCAGCAGTCTAAAAAGCAGCTGTTCAGTCATACTCCAGTTCCATTGGTAATCACATTGTACCAGCAGGCACATTCCCAGTGAATCTACAGGTTAATGTTGAACCACATCATAGATCGGGGTTGTCATCTTGTTTCGTAACATGTCTGCTGAGGCACGTGAGATGTAAACACTGGCAGCCATATTGACAGTTTTGAAGTGTGAGGAACTTTGATGATGAGGTGAAGAAGCGTTTATTTATTTTTTATTTACTGGTGGTAATTGCTAACAAACTAATATGACTTACACTTGCTAAATAAATAGTAGAATGTTAAGTCATAAAGTATGTTGAAGAAATATATTCGTATAGCATTTTAAAAACTAGTTCTACAACCTCTAACCCCTAAAATTTCAAAGAAATTACCTCTCTCGCTGATTTCCAAGAATTCACTTGAGGTCAGTCCAAACAGTGCACAGCGGGTTGGTAGAAATTAAAACATCTGTCTTTGGACTAAGTTTGGAGGGTTGTTTGTCAACCATTTTTTGAAAGCTATGTGTTTTGAACACTTGTTTTGAACAACTCAAGTCTTGGTGTTTTTAATCTTGAACTTAACTAATATTTGTTACATATATAACTACCTGGGATCACTTTTCGGAATGTTCAAAGATTGGAACCTACATGATGTGTCATCCTAAATTAAAGACGTATTTAGTAAAGTCGACTTCGTTATCGCTTAGTGTCAATACTATATGCATAGACGCCGAGTTGTAACACTTTGTGAATGAACAACTGAGGTGATAACGCCCAGTTCCACAAACAAGCACATCATCATTATGTTATTTGCAATATTTAATCAATCAATTTGTACATTTGATACACTACTCATCCATAGTCCTTGCATACTTCGCAACTCCCAACATCTGGATGACGTAGGTGTAGGCGTCCGAGGACCAGAAGGGGAAGAATACGGCATTGTCATTGTAGCCGGGGAAGACGGTAGGTGTGTTGTAACGGCCCATATGTTTCATCTCATACTGGTACTCCTTCTCCGGAATTAAACCCTCCACGCCTTCTATATATTTAGCAGTGTGAATTTCAGTTCTGTTCATCCTGGTCCCATGAAATAGCTCGACTCGATTCACTGGGTACAGTAACGGGTATGTCTGAAACAGAAGCGACCGTTTATTTCAACAACAGTAACTGAATCTGATAGCGTCTGGTATGACGAAAACAATATCATTCAAATGATCTCATCTTTGATATTTATAAACGCAAGAAATTCTTGTTCACATTCATAAGAAAGCTTGATTGTCGATTGTACAATTCCGACCATATAATGAGCATGCACCCGTCAAATAGTGACTTCAGGTGTTCGTGAAAAGGTGAGCGTATCATGCTACCCTGGTAGCTCTCGTCACAAACACATGCAAAAGCAAGTCAAATATTCAGAACGTCTTCTGTCAATATTAATACTAGACATTAATTATCAATATACAGTTTAAAACAGCAGCCATCGACAGTGAAAAAGTATAGTTATCCACAGTTCGTGTGCAACATTAGAATACAGTAAAGGTTTATATTTTGTTTCAGGCAGACAATAACGGTCGCATATACCGTGTTGAATTAGCTTGAAGTAACGGCGTTTAGTCATTACTTTACTCCCGTATGTTTGAGCCTTTAGTTAAAGATATGTGTGAGTCCTTTGGATTCAATGCCACATTAATATTATATTATTACTGTGCAAATGAAAGAAAGATTAGACATAAGCGAATGTAAATTAAGACAGTCACCATTTAATTATAAGGTTGCCTGTCCCATGACTACAAGTTGCACAAGGTCTGTGTCCAGGGGAATATGACGTGTGACAGGTACATTCTTTAAATCATGCACCTTGTGGCTACCAGACCTTTCTACATGGACGACAAAGCAAGACACCAATCTCAACAGGTATCAGCGTTCCTCTAGCAGAACGCCATAACGACCATCCCTAGTCCCGCCATGAATCTGCAGGGGAGCATGATACAGTCGCTGGACCAGCGAGGGATCAATCTACAGGAAGACACATATACAGGAACTGACACAAGCATTACATAGAAAATTGCAACATCTACCATCAGACGTCTCCAGGAGGCTACATGACGGCTATACACGCTATTGACAACCTCGTGACGGGAAGACATGTGTTGGCCAAAACGGACATTTTTAGTAACAACTTACGAGGGCATGTTAAAGCCATACTTAATTCAAGTACCAATTTTGTCAACTTGAAATGAAATGTCCCCAATAATACAAATCTTACTTTCTAAAATGTCACTATTGTTGTCTTTATTTAACGACGAAGACTTGCTCTTTCGGGATAACAAGCAGCATGTTCTAGTTCTATGCCATAGACTAGAGGCCTGCGCACGTTTCAACCCTATGGTCCAGGTGTATTGACCCTGTCAAACTAATGATGCTAATATGTCAAACTGACAGCTATGTGTATACGTACTGTACGTCCCTTGTAGGAGCCGGAGAAGAAAGCATTCCACGGTTCGAACCCACTGAACATACCGAAGTAGTACGACCAGCTGACGATTCTGTCGACTGTAGTCTTTACATTAGCGGGTGTATCTATAATGAATAACGTACATGATTATTCAGAATCAGAGGTTAACAAGAAGTCGATGGTCGGACATGTAATCCTACACGGAAGCGAATTAGTGTTAAAAACATGCTGTGGTATTTAATATCTGCCAAATGTGTAGAGCTGATTAAATTAATCATTCGTTCAACACTTGGACATGCTCTATTGAAAGTACATATTGATATTATCTGAAATATATCGCTCAATAATCGAAACTAGCCTGATGAAATATGTTTCACACAGAAACCTCGTTGTCTGGAAACCCACCACACGCAGGACGATATTATAATTATATACTGAACCGCAAAAGAAACGTCACCATGGCTAGATATATGAGTAACCTTATTTGTCCAAACACTGTAAACATACTTTGAGAGGTATTAAAAAGATGAAACTTGGCATCAAGGTTGAAATTAAAGTGTCCAATGTTCTTAAAGTGAAACACAACACTAGCCTCTGAGAAAATGCCATCACAAGTCAGTATCTAGTGTGTCCGCCTTTTGCATTAATGCCTGCCATGCAACGTTGATACATGGAATGAATGAGGCGGTTGATGAAGTATATAGGCACTTGAGCCTACACTCTGAGGAACGCCTGACGCAGTTCAGCTGCAGTTGTCGGCCTTGGTCGGACGTCATCCAACCATCGTTGAATTTCGTCCAGCAAGTGCTCAATAGGATTTAAATCGGGACCGAGGGCAGGCCACTGCATGGTTCTGATGCCATTCTGCTGAAGGAAGTGTTTTGTTGCTATCGTAGTGTGGGCACGGGCGTTATCATGCTGAAACTCGTGGTTGCAGCGACGTCCCAAAGGAGGTATGGCATGTGGTCTCAAGACTTGATCAATGTAGCGAGCTGCTGTGACACCATTGCCTCTCCCAGGACCTATGTTCTGGAAGACCACAGGGTCGACCCTCTGTGCAAGACCAATTTCAACCCACACCATGATGCTCGGACAACCCAACGAGTCTCTCTCAACAACACAAGCATCCGAATAACGTTCCCCACGGCGTCGCCAGACTCTCTCTCTCTGCCATCTGCTGTTGAGATACAGTAACAGCTCTCGTCTGAGAAGAGGACTCTTCTCAGCTGCTGTGGCACCAATGCTGGTTCTGTGTTGCCCACTGAAGACAGTCCCGGCGATGACGTGGTGTCAGAATAGGTCCTCGGTGTGGCCTGTGGCAGTGGAGGTCAATCGTCGACAAAGCGACCTTGAAGAAGCTGTCGCACAATCTGACGATCCTGACGTCGGGTGGTAACCATTGGTCTTCTACTACGTGGTCGGTCATCTGTAGCGTTGGTGGTCTGGTTCCGTTGCTGGAACCTGTGTATGGTCTTTACGTGGACTTGAAATGCATTGGCGGGCGGTTTGTCCAGATTGCAATCGTCCAAGGGCTTGGTGTCGCTGATTCCTTGTCAATCTTGGCATGTGGTATCAATTCAATAACGAATGAATGTTAACCGGTCTGGGTGGATTTTTATAGGGTAAGAAATGGGGGAACGCCTGTGCATTTCTATTTGCACAGAACTCACGTGCATCGGGTAACCATGGGTGATCGGTTTTATTGTCATCAACAACAGAAATATGATATTCTGCAGTACCATGTTCAAAATGTCAAATAAATCTAGATGTGTCGAATTTCAGTGGTTGAAAATATATACCTAGTGCTCCAAACAGTAGGATTGATAAGATAGCACTCTGAGAGATCATTGTGTCTGAAAGCAGGTGTTTTTCTGTATGTAAAGCTTTATCTATATCTTTTTGTGTCGTATGTTTGAAATCTGCTCGTACCACTAGGAATCTCATCAGGCCATAAGTGAATAACGGACATGGAGTTGTAACATATAGGTACGTGACGTCATAACATTTAGAAGAACTATGACGTCACAATACCAAGGTGAAAATGGACAAAGAACATACGCCTTTACATTTCACTTAGGCGCGTTTTTATGAATAAAACGTTGCTCTTTTTTTAAATAATGTAGGTTCATGATCAAAATTTAGCTTGTATAGCGGGAAAAGTAAAACGTTGTCGTTGCCACATGCATCATGATGTTGAATCATCTTGAATCGTGTGGTTGTGTGGCTGCCTTATTTGTGAACAGTGAAGATTCATTCTTCTTTTCAATTTATGATCTTTCTGATATACCTTTCATGGTACTAACTACAAACAATCAGGTAAATAATATTTCTGGTATTACAAGTCATATTTTCGTTTACAGTAAATTTAGTATCTTCTGTAACTTGGAGATGAACAACCTTCAATTATGTTGCTGCAAGTAAGGCAGCATTTGTCACTGCACTAAGGCATGCCTCTGATTTGTGGATGTTCCAAAACCCTAACCTGACATTTGTATTTGATGCCCTGAAGCGTTATGCCTACAGGTACCACTGTAATGTATGCATCCCTCTGACTACAGGTACGATGTAACCATCCCTCTGACTACAGGTACGATGTAACCATCACTCTGACTACAGGTACGATGTAACCATCACTCTGACTACAGGTACGATGTAACCATCACTCTGACTACAGGTACGACGTAACCATCACTCTGACTACAGGAACGACGTAAACATCACTCTGACTAAAGGTACGACGTAACCATCAGTTTGACTACAGGTACGACGTAGGCATCAGCCTACAGTGGTAAGACGGGTGTATCAGTTTGTCTACAGGTAAGACGGGTGTATCAGTTTGCCTACAGGTAAGACATGTACATTGGTTTGCCTCCAGGTAAGACGTATACATCAGTATGCCTCCAGGTAAGACGGATGTGTCAGTTTGCCTCCAGGTAAGACGGATGTATAAGTATGCATCCAAGTAAGACGGGTGTGTCAGTTTGCCTACAGGTAAGACGGATGTATCAGTTAGCTTACAGGTTAGACGTATGTATCCTTTGCCTATAGGTAAGGCGGATGTATCAGTATGCCTCCAGGTAAGACGGATGTATCAGTTAGCTTACGGGTAAGACGGATGTATCAGTTAGCTTACGGGTAAGACGGATGTATCAGTTTGCCTACAGGTAAGACGGATGTATCAGTATGCCTCCAGGTAAGACGGATGTATCAGTTAGCTTACAGGTTAGACGTATGTATCCGTTTGCCTATAGATAGGACGTCAGCATCAGTATGCCTACAACTTAAACGTATGTATCAGTTCATCTACTGGGGAGACGTATGTATCACTTTGCCTACAGGTAAGTCGTATGTGTCAGTTCGCCTACAGGTAAGACGCATGTATCAGTTCGCCTACAGGTAAGACCTTTGTATCCGTTTGCCTCCAGGTAAGACGGATGTGTCAGTTTGCCTACAGGTAAGACGGATGTATCAGTTAGCTTACAGGTTAGACGTATGTATCAGTTTGCCTACAGGTAAGTCGTATATATCAGTTTGCCTACGCGTAACATGCATGCATAATTTTGTACACTACATCCCCTTATTTTACAACAATGCTGATCATATGGTCAACATGACTCAAGTACGTGGTCTCCCAATCAATAAGATGACAGGACATTGACACGATTGAAGATGCATCTTGCAAGGCAGCACTAAACGAAACTGAAAGGCAATTATGAATTCAACCTTTTGTTGTTGTACAAATCTTATAGTATATGGATTCCACATAGACATTAACCAATTATTAAAAGACAGCGTTGAGACAATGTATGGTACTTAAGAATTAGAAAACTGCCCTCTATCCTACTATTAGTAATCTTAATTTTATTGTTAGCGAACACCATAATATGAGCAAAAAAGATATATATAGCATGTTTTTAGTTTGGTTACAACCAATAGATTCAAATAATGTCATAAATAGATGAGAAAGATCTGTTTAAAACCACGTCAGTAACGCCAGTCACACTGATAGCGCGTAACGCATTTACATCAAGTACAGGACATCAAAATGGCCGACACAATAAACGTGAGACGTGGCGATTTCGGAAGATGTTAATGAACCTGTGGCAATAACACGTGTCAGGCATTACTGATCAACTGCCCGATCATTGAAAGGTGATTGATTATAAAGATGTGTCAAGTAGATACTGAGTTAAAATTACACATTGCTGTAGATGGTCACTGTCAGTCTAGACACTGATCGAGTTGATAGTTTTATTGTGCATTTCTTCGTTTTGCTCTCGGGGATGGGTCGTAGAAAGCATATATTCGTGGACGGACATGCAGTCAGACTCTGTGACTGTATGCCACAATTATAGTATCCAAATGATCTGTGTTCATGCATGCAAGGGAATCCCCAGGGCTTTCCCCAGGCATGTGGCTACAGGCCTTCTGTGTTTACGTCATTTCAAGAATACAGTTTCGTAACAACGTATGAACGTTTCGCAGTCATGTGATCGGCCCCTGTGATCGGTTCAATGGAAAAGCCATATATCCACCGTAACAAATTATAAATAGGTAACAGATACTTACATGAAGTGTTAATGACATTTAGAGCCGACTTCATTTTCGGCTGGTATCAATATTATATGTATAGGCGCCGACGTGTAGCACTTTGTGAATGAACAATTGAGGTGATAACGCCTATTTACACCACAGACACAACATAACTATTCGCAGTATTTAATCAGTCAAATTGTACATTTGATACGCTATTAATCCATACTCCTGGCGTACTTAGCAACTCCAAACATCTGAATGACATAGATGTAGGCGTCTGATGACCAGAAGGTTAAGAACACGGCGTTGTCGTTGTAACCGGGGAAGACGGTGTGTGTATGGAAGCGGCCACGGACATGTTTCATCTTCTGTTTGTATTCTTCCTCTGGTATGACGTCTTCAACCCCCATAATGGCATGACTATGAGCACGAAACGTGTCGCTGATTCTTGTGCCATTGAAAAGCTCAAGTCGGTTCATCGGATAGAAGTATGGTTCCATCTGCAATTCTAAGCCAGCCTTAATTTACAAGATGCGGTCTCATTCTGATGGTCATGCTCGGTGACTTGGTTGATTGCAATCACTTTAACGCGGCGGCGTTGATCGTTACTCATGATGTCACTCATTAGATTATCGGGTCGAGACTCCATATTAAACAGGATGCTGTCATTCAGCTGGAATGCGTTGTAAAACAACAAACAAGCTATTTCTGTCACAACAAACCGTTACTGCAATGTTCACCAAGCTATGTACTAATTCTACCATGACATTCATGAATGTTGATTCTGATTAAAACGAGTTTTTCTTTTTGCTACGGAAACCCCTTTCAAATAGATTAAATATTTTCACACAAAAAGCGTGCTTATGGAGACATCAATAGCCTCTATATCGATTCATAAAAAAATTCTGCCGATCGATCACCCCCATTTGAACTGTAAAACGTATCTATATTTCCTCTTTTACATGCTGGGTCTCAAATACAAGCCAGGTTCACAAAACACGCCGCGTGAAGCATGTCTGAGGAAACTTTATTCAAGACAACAGGTTGCTTAGAAACCATTTTGTGAATTTTTGCCATCTCCGTCTACCACACTGTAAGAATTTTGGCAGGAGAGGTGTTTAAAGTCCATCATTAAAAAACTCAAATTGACAGGTCAAATCACACAGATACCTCGAGTCAAAATAGATGGCTTGTTTGCAGCCATAAAAGCGTCTTGTCAGCACCCTAAAAAGCAGCTGTTCAGTCATACTCCAGTTCCATTGGTAATCACATTGTACCAGAAGGCACATTCCCAGTGAATCTACAGGTTAATGTTGAACCACATCATAGATCGGGGTTGTCATCTTGATGCATAACATGTCTGCTGAGGCACGTAAAATGTAAACATTGGCAGCCATATTGACAGATTTGAAGTGGGAGTAACTGTGATGATGATTTTGAGAAGCATATATTTTGATTTTTTATTATCTACTTGTGGTAATTGCTAACAAACTAATATGACTTACACTTGCAAAATAATTAAGTAGTAGAATGTTAAGTCATAAAGTTTGTCGAAGAAATATAATCGTTTACAATTTTAAAACTAATTCTACAACCTGTCACCCCTACAATTTCAAAGAAATGACCTCTCTCGCTGATTACCAAGAATTCACTTGGGGTCAGTCCAAACAGTGCACAGCGGGTTGGTAGAAATTAAAACATCTGTCTTTGAACTAAGTTTGGAGGGTTGTTTGTCAACCATATTTTGAAAAACTATGTGTTTTGAACAACTCAAGTCTTGGTGTTTTATATGTTATATTTGTAACATATATAACCACCTGGGATCACTTTTCTGAATGTTCAAAGATTGGGACCTACATGATGTGTCATCCTAAATTAAAGACGTATTTAGTAAAGTCGACTTCGTTATTGCTTAGTGTCAATACTATATGCATAGACGCCGAGTTGTAACACTTTGTGAATGAACAACTGAGGTGATAACGCCCAGTTCCACAAACAAGCACATCATCATTATGTTATTTGCAATATTTAATCAATCAATTTGTACATTTGATACACTACTCATCCATAGTCCTTGCATACTTCGCAACTCCCAACATCTGGATGACGTAGGTGTAGGCGTCCGAGGACCAGAAGGGGAAGAAAACGGCATTGTCATTGTAGCCGGGGAAGACAGTAGGTGTGTTGTAACGGCCCATATGTTTCATCTCATACTGGTACTCCTTCTCCGAAATTAAACCCTCCACGCCTTCTATATATTTAGCAGTGTGAATTTCAGTTCTGTTCATCCTGGTCCCATTAAATAGCTCGACTCGATTCACTGGGTACAGTAATGGGTATGTCTGGAACAGAAGCGACCCTTTATTTTAACAACAGTAACTGAATCTGATAGCGTCTGGTATGACGAAATTAATACCATTCAAATGATCTCATCTTTGATATTTATAAACGCAAGAAATTCTTGTTCATATTCATAAGAAAGCTTGATTGTCGATTGTACAATTCCGACCATATAATGAGCATGCACCCGTCAAATAGTGACTTCAGGTGTTCGTGAAAAGGTGAGCGTATCATGCTACCCTGGTAGCTCTCGTCACAAACACATGCAAAAGCAAGTCAAATATTCAGAACGTCTTCTGTCAATATTAATACTAGACATTAATTATCAATATACAGTTTAAAACAGCAGCCATCGACAGTGAAAAAGTATAGTTATCCACAGTTCGTGTGCAACATTAGAATACAGTAAAGGTTTATATTTTGTTTCAGGCAGACAATAACGATCGCATATACCGTGTTTAATTAGCTTGAAGTAACGATGTTTAGTCACTACTTTACTACCGTATGTTTGAGCCCTTAGTTGAAGGTATGTGTGAGTCGTTTGGATTTAATGCCACGTTAATATTACTGTTCAAATGAAAGAAGGATTAGATATAAGTGAATGTAAATGTAGACAGTCACCATTTAAGGTTGCCTGTCCCATGACTACAAGTTGCACAAGGTCTGTGTCCAGGGGAATATGACGTTTGACAGGCACATGCTTTAAATCATGCACCTGATGGTTGTACCACCTTCTGGCTACCAGACCTTTCTACATGGACGACAAAGCAAGACACCGATCTCAACAGGTATCAGCGTTCCTCTAGCAGAACGCCGTAACGACCATCCCTAGTCCCGCCATGAATCCGCAGGGGCGCAAGATTCAGACGCTGGACCAGCGAATGATCAATCTACAGGAACCCCATCACAGGAACTGACACAAGCATTGCACAGAATATAGCAACACTTACCATCAGACGTCTCCAGGAGTCCACATGACGGCTATACACGCTATTGACAATCTCGCGACGGGAAGACATGTTTTGGCCAAAACGGAATTTTTAGTAACAACTTACGAGGGCATGTTAAAGCCATACTTAATTCAAGCACCAATTTTGTCAACTTGAAATGAAATGTCCCCAAAAATACAAATCTTACTTTCTAAAATGTCACTATTGTTGTCTTCATTTATCGACGAAGACTTGCTCTTTCGGGATAACAAGCAGCATGTTCTAGTTCTATGACATAGACTAGAGGCCTGCGCACGTTTCAACCCCATGGTCCAGGTGTATTGACCCCGTCAAACTAATGATTCTAATATGTCAAACTGACAGCTATGTGTATACGTACTGTACGTCCCTTGTAGGAGCCGGAGAAGAAAGCATTCCACGGTTCGAACCCACTGAACATACCGAAGTAGTACAACCAGCTGACGATTCTGTCGACTGTAGTCTTTACATTAGCGGGTGTATCTATAATGAATAACGTACACGATTTTAGTTCTGTATTAAGTGATTATTCAGAATCAGAGGTTAACAAGAAGTCGATGGTCGGACATGTAATCCTACACGAATGCGAATTAGTGTTAAAAACATGCTGTGGTATTTAATATCTGCCAAATGTGTAGAGCTGATTAACTTAATCATTCGTTCAACACTTGGACATGCTCTATTGAAAGTACATATTGATATTGACTGCAATATATAGCTCAATAATCGAAACTAGCATGATGAAATATGTTACACACAGAAACCTCATAGTCTGGAAACCCACCACACGCAGGACGATTATAATTATAAACTGAACCGCAAAAGAAACGTCACCATGGCTAGATATTTGTGTAGCCTTATTTGTCCAAACACTGTAAACATACTTTGAGAGATATTAAAAAGATGAAACTTGGCATCAAGTTTGAAATTAAAGTGTCAAATGTTCTTAAAGTGAAACACAACACTAGCCTCTGAGAAAATGCCATCACAAGTTAGTATCTAGTGTGTCCGCCTTTTGCGTTGATGCCTGCCATGCAACGTTGATACATGGAATGAATGAGGCGGTTGATGAAGGATATAGGCACTTGAGCCCACACTCTGAGGAACGCCTGACGCAGTTCAGCTGCGTTGAATTTCGTCCCACAAGTCCCACAAGTGCTCAATGGGATTTAAATCGGGACCGAGGGCAGGCCACTGCATGGTTTTGATGCCATTCTGCTGGAGGTAGTGTTTTGTTGCTCTCGTAGTGTGGGCACGGGCGTTATCATGCTGAAACTCGTGGTTGCAGCGACGTGCCAAAGGAGGTATGGCATGTGGTCTCAAGACTTGATCAATGTAGCGAGCTGCTGTGACACCATTGCCTCTCCCAGGACCTATGTTCTGGAAGACCACAGGGTCGACCCTCTGTGCAAGACCAATTTCAACCCACACCATGATGCTCGCACAACCCAAAGAGTCTCTCTCAACAACACAAGCATCCGAATAACGTTCCCCACGGCGTCGCCAGACTCTCTCTCTGCCATCTGCAGTTGAGGTACAGTAACGGCTCTCGTCTGAGAAGAGGACTCTTCTCCGCTGCTGTGGCACCAATGGTGGTGCTGTGTTGCCCACTGAAGACGGTCCCGGCGATGACGTGGTGTCAGAATGGGTCCTCGCTGTGGCCTGTGACAGTGGATGTCAATCGTCGACAAGTGACCTTGAAGAAGCTGTCGCACAATCTGAAAATCCTGACGTCGGTCGGTAACCATTGGTCTTCTACTACGTGGTCGGTCATCTGTAGTTTTGGTGGTCTGGTACCGTTGCTGGAGCCTGTATATGGTCTTTACGTGGACTTGAAATGCATTGGCGGGCGGTTTGTCCAGATTGCAATCGTCCAAGGGCTTGGTGTCGCTGATTTCTTGTCAATCTTGGCATGTGGTAGCAATTCAATAACGAATGAACGTTAACCGGTTTGGGTGGATTTTTATAGGGCAACAAATGGGGGAACGCATGTGCATTTCAATTTGCACAGAACTCACGTGCATCGGGTGACCATGGGCGATCGGTTTTATTGTCATCTGCTTTGTTTTTTTATCATCAAATTTCCTTTTGCCAAACAAGGT